GAAATGAAGAATACTGCCATCTGTGGATGCAACAGTGTCATGTCCCAGAACATGCTACTCTTCACAATAACTGCTGTGAAATCTTCAAATCTCTCATTGGTGCAAAAAATTTCAGATTGAAATCAGACACAATCTCAAACTTCACTGCTTATATGAGTATATACAGTATCTGTGTATTCCAAATGAGTCCATAATGTTACTGTGTGAGTTAACAAGCATCTTATACATACTGCATTATACCGTGTGTTGAGCAGTTCTGATATGTTGACTCTAAAAATAATAATGATCCTGGCTTTTCAATTAGACACCTGTTTCAATCTGCATAAAAAAAAGTAAAGCTATCCCTGTACCAGGCCATGAAGGCCCATAGGGTTGTGAGACGTTGAGGGTCCCACACTATCTAGACAATCGGCTCAAAGATGGCAGTAAGGTTGTCAGCCTTACACGCTGGCTGTGCTTTACTCCCCAGGAAAATGATTTAATTAATTCCTGTACTCACTTCTGTTAGAGGCTGAGTAAACACCAGGGCTTAGCGTGGCTGGAAGGATTAGGTAAACTGAAAAAAATCCAATGACCTCATCAGGACTTAAACCCGCAATCTTCCAGCTTGTAGAATAGCCCCTCAACCACTGGATGAGGAAAACAAGTTACATATACAGAAATTTGATGGGGATAACTTCCTGCAAAGCAGCTACTTGACAACCTAAATACAGGAGGATAATATTAAAACTACAAATTAGAGCAAGAAGTAGTGGTGATGTGAACCAGTTCAGACCAATTCAAAATGTCTACTGGCAAGCTTTGATATTAGAAATGGTGAATCTTCAGTTTCTTAATGGTGAGGGTTCAGTTAACTAAGTTACTGTAATTCACTCCTCTTATTATAAAAGGCATGTTCTGTATTCTTAAACAAAAGTCATGCAACTCAGTGAGTGTCTATCTACATTTTCTGTTCATCAGTGATAGTCACATAATTGATTCAGCGCCATTCAAAATGGACACATACATAAATGGGAAAGACTCTGTGTTCTGAAAACATTAAGAGGATGTTTGAGCCAGACTCTTAGAAACACAAATATCTTGCTTTACATGGATATATCAAACAACAGCAATCAGTCACTTTTGTATATTTGAACCATGTCAGCCAGTCAGGGTTAAAAATTTCCCTTCATAGTCTAAACAAATTTTTAGGCACATGTTATTACAAATTCTCTGAACTGAACAGTGATCTGTGCCCAAGATGCAGATCTAAACAAGACAATCACATTAACATTATGGCCATTTTTATTATCACATGAGAGTGGTAATATTTATTATCATCAGCAGCAGCAGCACTAACATTAATTATTATTATTACTGTCAGCTGAGCCTTAATAGTCAATTAACATGTTCAGGCAGTACTGCATAACTTTCATCCATGTGCGAGTGCTGTTTGTGTGTTAGTTTGTTGCAACCTACTGGCACATGACCAGCAAGGCCTGTTTGGTATATTTGTAGTAAAGCTTACCATGAGGTACTCCAGGACAAATTGACTCTGTTTAATTTGATTTAGTGTTAATATTGCTCCCTACAACCTATTCTTCACAAGCTCAATAATTTGTAATTTCCTCTTATGTTAATTCTGAAGCTACTTGATCTGCTGTTCATATATTTCTTGAACACCTTCTGTATCATACATTGTGATGTCTGGAGTTGGAAAGGAATGCCCTCTAGGATAGAAGCATTTTAATATATTCATTTTGTTTGCTCACGATCTGACGATCTACTGCAGTATTGGTAATGTTGAAGACTACACCTTTGCAATCAGACATTGATTCCGCACAAAATTGGTGTTTCCAAAATTATATGTAGTGATCTCCCATCACTTCATTCCAGACAGCATCATCTTGATGCTTTGGTCCTGATTAATGTTTTTAAAACAAAATTTGTTGCTCATCCATTCTGAATTAGTATGGATACCCACAAAGACTCCTACTTTATATGTACACTATCATAATAAGGTTAGTCCCTCAGCCAGATGTGTTCTTGCTGGTAATGTAATCTGCAGAAACACTGATACTTTCAACAAATATTATATCTCGTTCACTAACATCAGTCTTTTAATGAATCATCAATGATGTTAATGGCCTACACTATACCAGACAATTCTGTACAATGTTTGTTAACTTATGCAATCATTTTTACTTTACGGTTTGTACTGAACTATCAGAAAAAAAATGGATTATTAAGCATATGCCTCCCTCATATGGAGACTTTGTGGAGGAATCAATGATCTTCAGAACACAAGTCATATTAGTAATCTACCATGTTCAGGGCAAAGTGACGCCTATTTATAGTACAGGTGTGGTCTATTGCGAAAGTGGAAATTGGAGTGTCTGTCTGTCAAATGCTAGCAAGTCAGCTCACCACAATATGTCATCATCCAAAAGTGAAAACACAAACCTGAAGAAAGCCTTAAAATCTGACATCATCGAGGCATACACAGTGCATCTGTAAAGTAACACGAGGAAGAAAAGAAACTCGCAAAATTCAGAAAAAGAATTTATTATGAAAATCATTCAAAATAGTCCTCATAGTCCTATACACTTCTTACGACTCTCTTTCAACCACTGAAAGCATCCTTCAAATTCCTCTAAAGTTATCTCCTCCATAAGGTCAGTCATATTCTTCTGGGGGCTTTGGGTGGTATGAAACTGCTTCCCTTCCATCTTCATTTCTTACTTCAGAAAGACAAAAAAGTCAGCTCGAGCCAAACATGATGAACAGTAGGAAGGGGTTAGTTGATCTCAGTAACCCATTTTTGTGAAAGACATCTCTGAACAATTAATACAGTGAGTGCTGGTGCAGTGTCAAGCAACAGAAACCAATTCTTGTTTCCGTGAACACGCAGTCTGACCTGCTGAATTTTTTGTAATAATCATTCCATCACTTCTAAATAAAACTGTTCAATTATGATTTTTCTTTCTGAAACAAATTCCTTGCGAATTATTCCTCTTGAATCAAATCTCATTACTGTTCAGATGCACTATACATTACTCAGGTTCTTCAGCTAAAACTTTGTCTCTTTTTAACACATTCACTGACAATGACACAGCTAGTCAAGTCTCAGATGCATTCAGCATTACAAATACATTGTCAGCTCTTTCCTTATAATGGCACCACCCATAAAATCAAAATTTTCCTATATTTTTACTGACTAGCACAAGATATAGTTATAATTTTTCTGTAGAATGATAGTAAAAGCAACAAAAGTTTTCTCTTTGAGTTAATAATAATGCATTCTGTTTTCTAGATCCACAAACTGTTTGCTAAATGTGACAACAGCTTTCTCATTCTGACAGATTAGAGACATCAGTTTCATAAGGTGGTCCTGTACTAGATGTGAACTGAACTTGTGGTCCACAGTGTGCGTTGGTTACCACTATAATGTTGCAATACTGCCGACATAAGAAAACCAGTGTATTCGTAGCATTTGAGAGGTCACTGAAATATTTCATTTTTTCAATCGCATGTTTTCCAATTGTCATAAATCACAGTACAAGCTCAAAGGAATCAAATTGTGCAATGTTTATCCAATCCAAAACACATGACACTTTAAACTGGATTGACAGTGAATGCATCATAGATTCTGTCCAATATCCAATGCTCCCCTTCTTGGTACAAATCTTGTGAAATAGAAAAAGAAAATCTAACAATCACAAAGATTTCAATGAAAAAAAAATTATGCAGATCAAAATTAGTACGATCACTGAAATATTTGCTGTACACATAAATTCATAAATTTCAAGTGATAATTAACATTTACTGTCAACTAAGATGCTTTCCAGTATTCAGAAATCAGACAACTTTTGTATCTTGACAACACAGGTGATGGTAAAGAAAATACTTCACACAGCAGAATGAGAATGTGGCTAACCCATTGCCCAATATTTGGCACTAGCTGGCATCTGGAAGCAAGCCTTCCTTCTTCAATTGCACTAAAGTCACTTCAGCGGATAATATCAGTCACAATATTATATTAAAATCGCTGTGAAAAGTTCGGTGTCGGCTGGGTGTTAGATGAAGAACTGTATATCATGCCAGGTTGAGTCACATGCTGCTGTTGCTGCTGTTGTTGGACATGGTGGAATTCAGGTTGTTGCTGTTGTTGCTGCTGTGATGACATGCCAGAGGATGTGCTGACAGGATGAGGTGGAGCCAAGCGAACACGCTTCGCATTAGGGCCATGATTGTGGTTATGATTTCCTTGGTCCCCTTGGCCTCCTTGATTACCCTGATAAAAGAGTCATTAAATGAAGATAGGTCAGTCAGTTGTAAACTGAGGGGAAAAGATGCGTTGTTTGTTTTCAGCCAAAATTACTTTCATGTCCCTCCAAAACATGGATTTTGGTCTGTTTGTGGACATTTATTCACATTCCATATTTATATATAAATAATATTATAATAATATAATATAATATAATAATAAATATATTATATTCCATTATTTAATTGTGCGGTAGCGTAGTGGTTAAGGCACTATGCTACAAGCCGGAAGGTCACGGGTTCAAGTCCCGATGAGGTCATTGGATTTTTTTCAATTGACCTAATCCTTCCAGCCGCACTAGGCCCTGGGGTTTACTCAGCCTCTAACAGAAATGAGTACCAGGAATTAATTAAATGAATTTCCTGGGGAATGAAGCGCGGCCGGCGCGTAAGGCTGACAACCTTACTGCCATCTATGAGCCGATTGTCTAGATAATGTGGGACCCTTAATGTCTCACAACCCTATGGGCCTTTACGGCCTGTTACAGGGATAGCTTTACGCTTTTTTTTTTTACTTAGTCTGATTAAGTAACCAGGGTATGAGAATATTAGATTATTCTGTATAAACTTGCTAAACGTTTTAAACATATTTAATGCAGGCCTATTTATATCATAAAAATTGAACCGAATATAATGTCGATAATAACAAATGATTTAGTCATAACTATCTCTCCCCTTCCTCTTCATTATTTCAGACGCTTCAATCCTTATGGGGCTTCCAATTCTTGGGCTGAGGAGGAAGAGAGTGCATTCTTCAGAATGTTACCAGAAAGCCAAATGTGTGTCTCTCCCCGTATTAAGAGTTGGACACCATATCACTCAAAGCCACTTTATATGTGAAATTTCAACTCTGTCGTCCAAACACAGTGGCGCTGAGAATCAATTAGGTGGGAATAACACTAGAACAATTAAATGAAGTGGTCTCAACATTTTGAATCCTAATGATATTTGAAAAGTTAGCAGGTTTCATTTACTTTTAAAAAAAAAAAAAAAAAAAAACCACACACACACACAGCATTGTTACTGTGCAAGATACATTCACATGATGATGGATAAATCACTGTAATATGATATGGTGAAATTTTTAAGGTTACAGTTAAAACCTACAGGGTCTAATCTTCCCACATCTTAAAATGCAGCAAGTCAACAGTGAATATTCTGTATACTTTTTCCTTACATTTTACACGAGTTCTGAGTTTGTGTTTGGGACTATAAATCACACCCTGGTCACATAGGTTTTTAGAGAACATTATAAATCCAAGCTGGTAAATACTGGTAACAAGTACTAAGTCATCTGTACCTAGTTAAGATGTCTGGTAAACAGGTACCAGTGTTTCTGAGCAACACTGTCTCCATCTTCAGGGTGCCCATCCAGAATATTTGTATCTACCTAACTACACAGCATCACATGTCAGAAGACTGTAACTATTATTCACCGTCTTGGCACACTCAAATCTCAGTATCTACTTACCTTCAGTTATACTATGTGAAATATTTTACTAACATATCAAGAACTATCTTCATATACTGCAAATACATCATTATTTGAAACAGCAGACTTGTTCACATTACAGATAAAACTATCTCAAACTTCCAACTTGAGCCTAGCTTACCAGTCGCTAAGGTTCTCAATCAAGTCTGAAGCTTTCGAAATTCAGACTGCAACATTGGTTTCTGAAAGCACAGACAACCACACACACAGTCATACCACTGTCCTGCCTCCCAGCAATGTTTGCATCAAATGGCCAATTTTCATGAAACTTTGTAGGGATTTGAAGGTCTCAGTGATGGTTAAAGTAAAATCCTATATTCTGGGATACAATGATATGTAGTCCATTGAAAATAAACCAAAATTTTGGAAAACAATGTCACCTCCATTTTCAGGGTATGAACTGTTTGCTGCTGCTTCATGCTGGTTTCTTGCTTGGCTTACTATTCAACCCTGAAGATGGACATGAGATGTTTCCCTGAAATGTCGGTTGACTTTCAAAGGACTGCATGGTGTTATACGCCAGAAGATATAACTCCTCTTTACATGAAGCTCTATGTCATAAATTTGAAATTTTAAAATTTATTTTGACAAGTTTCAGGCTTCAGAGTTGTAATCAAATACCAATACATTTTAGGCAAATCTGACTAGGTTTCCACAATTGTGAAGATTTAGACTGTGATATTCTAAGTAGTCTGGTGGGTGGTTGCCAACATTTAGGAGCAATCTGCTACTTCTATTCTCAAGGCAAAAGTTTCTGGTAACCACTTACAAGGCTACAAGGTGTATTGACTCATACCTTATACTGTGTTCTGTGGAACCTTGTTGTTCCATGGATTTCATCATGATTACCAGTCAAAAAACGAATATAGTTTCTTGGAGTCAGAAATTATTCTGACTCCAAGTAACCATATAAACATTGCAAGTACCAAGAAAACCTCTTAAAATATAAGTTGTTAGTCACTCCTACTAATAACTGATCTTGGGCCATGCCATAGCTCAAGCAGTTAGTTGCTGGCTTCCCACTGCGGCGGCCCGGGTTCAATCCCGGGTCTGGTCAAGTGGGATTTGTGGTGGACAAAGTGGCACTGTGGCAAGTTTTTTGCAAGTACTTCGGTTTCCCCTGCCAATCTTCATTCCACCAATTGCTCCACAATCACCCTCATCTATCATCTGGGGCTAGTACAATAGGCCAGAAGTGGCTGCAGTACAAGGGACTTAGTCCCACCCCACTAGCAATAAAAAAAATAACTGATCTGTTTAAGACCTCCATGTTTAACATAGCGGAATGTAGTAAAATTATATATTCCATTTTGCATTTAATGTTCTAGAACAAAATGTATACGGAGTATTTAAATGAAAGGGTATTTGCAGGATACAGCAATTTTAACCCTTTACATGCTAAGGTGTTTTTTCTTTACTTTACTAATTTCATAAAAGAAGTACCAAATGATGTACATGTATCTATAAGCCAACCTAAGAGATGAAGGACACACATGAATGTCTGTAGCATGGGAAGGGTTAAATGGTGCAGCACAGTTAATGCATGTTTTAAATTTATTAGTTACCTAAGATTAAAATAATAACCTGTTGTTGCTATACAAGAGTTAGATTCCATCTTATAAGAAGTAATTCCATGGAGGAAGAGTGCTCCTTCAAAAGCTAATAGCTACTCAGCTAGTCAAGAAGTCCCCTGCCATTTATGGATCACTTCATTATTGTGTTTATAAGAGACCTTTAAAGTGGACTGCTTCATGTACAGCTTTAGATGTAGTGTCACAAGCAAACCAGTAGTAAGGGTATGCAGTCTTTATTCTCCTTTATCAAATTGCCTTCCAAAATCTTCCTTAACATTCTAATTTCTGGTTGTGGTGCAGCATTCACGTATATCACAAGTATGCCGGATATTTTAGAGAGCTGACTGTGACTCTAAATTTTCTTTTTTAATTCGCTTAGTGAAGGATGGAGTCCAACTGGGTCCACTTGGCACGGTGACCACTGATTGGCCTATTGTAGCCTGCCCCAGGTGATTATGATGTAGAATTTGGTGGAATGAAAATTGGCAGGGGAAACTAAAGTACTTGGAGAAAACCTGCATCAGCACCATTTTTTCCACCACAAATCCCACTTGACCAGACCCAGGATCGAACCCAGGCCACCGCGGTGGGAAGCGTGAGCTATGGCACCACCGACTGTGATACTAACCACCATCTGATGGCTTCAAGAGTTAGGAAGAGACTGTCAGAAAGTAAACAAACATTGCAATAGTGTGACATGGTGAGATTCAAGCTCAAGGAGCTAAATAATGTGAAAACCAGAAAAGAGAATCAGGTTAAGAAAAACCCGCTAATGTGGACATCATTGGTGTATGGGAAAATATTACAGAGAATATCAAAACTAACTTCTCAAGGAAATCTCTGCTCCATGGACTTAGTTCAAAATATGTTAAAGTTGAGTGTTTTTACTTGCACCTGTTGAAATAAGGCTATGAGGACTCGTTAAAATCTTCAGGTCTTACTGCTTTAACACATACAGGACCATGGTTTAGTCCTTTGAACCTTGTATAAAATGCTTATAATATTTTCAAGCAACAATACTTTTGTCTTGAGAGCATTTCAATTCAACATCTACTATAAAAAACTGAAAGTGTGGCCATTAGCATATAGGTGTAACAGCATTCTGTAGCCACAAACATAACACTTCAACACAGAGCACCACTGTTTTACATTTATCACATATAAAAAAAAATCTTGTAAAATGAAATAGTCCGTATAACTCAGAAAAGTATGTCAGACATGGTGCTTACTCTTTTTAGATGCAAAGAGAGTGCTTCAGATAATACTGTCAAACTAGAAAATATCTCTCAAACAAAGAATGAAATTAGCACGTTACTACCATGCTGTCTCACGGACGTTGATGGAATGTATCTTATCTTTTGTTCCTCCTCTCAACTAGCTCCTTTTCAGGGCAGGTCAGAGGGATACCTAGGAAAATAATTTACATAAAAATTATGTTAAAAATTGACTTCAAACTTATTTCATGAATTTTTAGAATTGTTAGTAAGTGCAAATCTAAATGGTGACTGGAAGCATCAGCATTTATCTCCATAGATGAATGGTTCGTTGCATGAGATATAAATATATGTACACACTACTTACAAACACAGTACTGAGGTTTACTGCCTTCCAGAATGTCATGCTCCATAGTTCAATTGATACATACCAACATTTTGGAGGAAGCTGTCACCTCTGTCTTCAGTGTAAAAGAGTGGGCCATGGAGTAGAAGTCAATCAAAGATATAGAGAAGGGAGAACAATGACTGTAGCTACAATTAAACCAATGCGAGAGGTGTAAAATGAATGGAATTATGTTGCCCTGAAACGGATCACGTTTGTAGACAGGAAAAAGATAAATTAAGTGGGAAACTGTAGCCCTAAAAAGGGCCAGACTTCTTATGTGCTTTTAAATGTTAGCACATATTGTATGTAACTTACAGTTTACTTACAAGACTGGTTCTTGTGTAGCAACAGTATGTAATTTGAATAAAGTTTATGTTAATGATGGTATAATATAATAAAACTATCTTAATTGAGTTAATTTTATTAATGGAAAAAAATTAAGGTTTTTGAACTAATACAAATGTTATGTTATGCAAAATGATTCATCTTTCAGTGACCAACATTTGGAACTGAACTGATATGCATTTTCTTCACTTTTATGGCAACATGCCTACTCACAAGTCAGCAAAATAATTAGGTACTTTCTATGTCAAAAGTAGTAGCCTTCAAATGTCTCACACTGCAATTGCAATGAAGTGGTGAAAGGTACAGATACAATGGACAATGTTCAACTCATGAGATAAGAAAACATGTATTGTAACAGCAGAACAATCTTATAACTTTCCGGGATTGATTTTTAAATAATTTTATAAAAGGAAATTTATATTCCTACAAGTAGATAATATTGGGTGTTATTTCTTAACAGAGTTCTGCTGCACTTCCTTTTAACATCAGAAGATGGAAATTTATGAAGTGCATTTCTATGATTTTCCTATTTGTATATACTGTTTCTATACGTATCCTCGCACTAGATTCTTTTAAATAATTTTTTTAACTCACATTTTGAGGCTGATTCTGCCGAGCCTTATTCTCTGACTTGTCTTCGTTGTCATCATCAGTAAGAAATTCTCTCTTTGGGTAAGGAATCTGACATCCAGCAAAAACACTGAAAATAAAAGGAGAATGGAATTTGAGATCCTCACAGCAGATAATGTTGGTAATCATGCTGCTCTGAGATGTGATGTAGTTTAGCGTATGATTTCTTGGAAACATCAGAACCTACCTATCAAACAATATGGTGTCACATCCCAGAAGATAATTATCTAAAAAGGGTAATATTTCTTTATATATGCACAAACAGAAAATGTCATATCCATCACAAATGCTGGAATAAGAGAAGAGCATATTTCTGATCGAATCAAAAGCATATGGGAGAAAGCAACTGTGCCCTGCTTTAAGGTACCCAGTAAAGGTAAAATGTAAAGCTGTCCCTGTGCTTAACTAAGCAAGCAATACATCATTAAGGTGTATGGGGGAGTGGATGTATAGATCCACATTTTCTTGATCTCAGCACTAGTTGGAGGTGAGTGGTCAGGTTCACACCCCTGCCACTTTACCCCCCGGGGAAAGAGGCCCCAGTACCCATTGGATAGGAGGTCGGGTGGACCCCAGAACCGGTCTGGATGACTTGGAGAAGAGAAAATTCTTGACCCTCCTGAGGCTGAAACTCTGACCCCTTGGTGGTCTGGCCCATTACCAGTCACTATACTGATTGTGCTATCCTGGCTCCTGTTAAGGTACCCAGTATTTACCAAGAAACTGTCAGAACAGGAACAATACAGGCTGAAATATTAATCTGGGGGACGTGCTGATCAGTATGCCGCAGTGCCCATTACCAACACCTACTTTATGGCATACTCGACAGACTGTCCTAACTGTGCTTACAAGAATAAAAAAAAATTGCTTCAAGCAGTATCTAAGTAAGCCCATGCAGCAAAGTCCTTTGTGACAAGCTAAAAGTTGCTGAAATAGTCGAGAAATTTCCAGTTTTTCACGGAATATGAATGTTCATCGCTTTGCTCTCAAGAGCCAACTACAGTATGTCCCTGTCTTGGCCAACATGGATCCACTCCCTACCCATCATTAGGATCCATTTTAATACTGACACATGTAGAGGGTTTTTGTGTGACTTATAAGACAGGTTCTGGATTGGACGATGGGATTTATTGCACCTTATACATTTACAACTTGGGACTGCAGGCAATACAGTGCTATCGTTGAGCTACACAATTTTCAGTTCACCACTGCACACACACACTACGGTTCTCAGTCTTCACTAGCTGTATCCTGACAACAGATTTATAAGAGTCTGTCACTTCAAATCACACATGAAGACTTTTCTGAACCATCTAATTTCCTTTTTCACCATTATTATTGACTCAATTCAATTCCTCTGCTCCCAAGCTCATATCCCAGCAGGCGGGCTTCTCAAAACTTGACTCTTCACAGAAAACACAGCCTTTATTGCTAAGGAGGTGTGTTTACTGATCCACTGACTAGCAACAGATGTCCAATTGTTGCGTAGGTTTGCTTGCATGGGAATGTGTTCACCAAGTTGTTGTCTAGCAATGGGTATACACGTCACAATATTATCCTTCCAAATATGCCTAGGTCTTCCAAGTGGTCTCTTCAGGTTTTCCTGCCAAAACTCTGCAAGCATTTCTCTTCTGTTCCATGCACATTATACACCCTGCGACATCATCCTCATTGGTCATGTTAATACATCAAATATTATCTATTAATGAGTGATGCTGAGTGGATCACTGTAGAAGGGGACCATCTACTGCATGCTATTTTCTAGAACTGAACAATGTCTGTAACACACTTGATTTCCAATTTTTGCATTAGAATATGTTTATATGTAAAATATTCCCTTATCAATAAAACACAATTTGTAAGATTTGAGGTTTTCACAGAGGTGACTATGAAGAATGTTGTCTTCTGAGATGTGGCGCTGCCTAGATCTTGTGACAAGGAAAACACAATTTATTCATGATTGAAAACAGTCTGTTTTCTCTGCCCCATGCCATACACATAAAATAAATGTCAATGAAAATAAGCACACTGAAAAAAACTGATAACATACTTGTAGTTCACTTACATCTTTCAACATTACAACATAATTATGTTAAAAATACCCATTGTCCATGTTATATCTGATCTACGCAATGTTTCAGGAGCTGACTCTACTTCTATTTCAGTTGGGTGGTTTTTCATTAAACCGGCAGAATTTTCTTTTATTTTATTTTTCAGGAGAACGGCAATAGTTAGAACTGATGACAGAATCCTTCCAGGCACAGACCTTGTATGCTAACCACGTGAGTGCTGTAGCTAAAGAGAGGTGTTATTTTTAAACACTTCACAACAAGATAAAGCTAATTCAGTGGATGTGTCCTTATCCAATATAAACCTGCAATAGAAAGATTGTTCCCTTGTAGGATGTGGGACAGCACAGTTTGGGAGATCACATCTCAGGTGACTGTAATCTTAATATTCACCGCTTCTGAGAACCTCATATATCAGCTGTGCAATAGGTTTATAAGGAGTGCTGATGATTTGTAACAGGAAAAGGGTCTAGTAAAATACAGGAATCATTATCACAACAGGATCATATACTTACTCCTGAGTTGGGAGTGGTTCTTCCTGGAAATAGGCATCTTGCATAGCTTGTTCGGACGTGATTCTTTTTGTAGGATCCATCAGAAGTAGTTTCTGAAGCTGTAACATCAGATTATGTTACAGTACTAAACAGTTCAACTTATATCTTAGAACTACAACAATCCTCACATATGTGAACAAAAAATTTCACTCAAGTACATAAATTTCAACATGGGTGAATAACAGATTACACATGTTCTTTCTTCATAAATCACAAGAGGGTTAACAAAAAATATTTCTAGAAATATTATAAAACTGTCAATAGAATATGACACAAGTGACAGATACTCTCTCACAGTCATGATCTAAATTAATTGTACTGAAGAACAAAAATTGTCATTGAAGGCATTTATAATACAGAATCACATAACACAAATACATATGGAAGGCATTTCAGTATCATTAATTGGAGACTCCTTGTACAGTTTGATTTCTGTGTGTATCTTAGGTGTATATAATACAGTGAAATGCTGATGTAACAGAATTTTCATAAAATTTATTGTGTAGGAAACGGAGACACAGTTATGTTGCTGTATTATCAATTGAAGAAAAATACATCAATCAGAACAATTGACCACAACAGAATCTTCACTACACAAACAACACTACCATTTTCCATATGTCAGCTACAACTTAAAAATCATGAAGATAAACTATAGAAAAATTACTTCATAAGTTTCAACTATCTAATTAATGGGCTGTCAAACAATATAAAGCCATGTAAGATTTGAGGTTTTCACAGTGGTGACTATGAAGAAAGCAGACTTCTGGGATATGGCACCGTGTAGATATTGTGTTAACAGACGTTTCGGAGGAATGTATCGTCTTCATCTTCAGGGCAGAAGAAAAAAAGAGACTAGTCTATTAGTACTTGCTCACGCTGGTTCTTCGTTTGTGGATTTCTTCTCTTTTTTCTCCTACATGGCGCCATATCCCAGAAGACTGCTTTCTTCAATATTAAACCACATGCTGCAGTATAATAATTGTGAAATAATTTCAACATTCATTATATTCATCTCTAAAGCCATTAGCAATTGTTTGTTTTAAGTAATTGCTTACTTTCTCTATGTAATCACCTTGGATCACAGTATGGCTCTCAACTTGAAGAAACTCGGCACAGAAAAGAAGAAGGGATTTTTACCATCTGAACCTGAGAAATATTAAACCGAGCTTTCACTGTATAGGTAGTCAGTCTTCAATTCAACGTCTGGGATGCATTCACAGAAACGGTGAAGTATATCAAAATGACAGATGGGAAATCAATCACATCCCAACTGCACTTCCTGCTTTAAGCAGGACACACAAACTATCTTGAACATCATGAAGCTCAAGAAAACTACACAATTTCTTCTTTTCACCAAACATTAATAGGATGACCATATCAGGAAGATCAGATTGACGGGCCATACAGCACACATGGGAGATATCAGAAAGCCTGAAGAGAACAGACCTTTTTGAAGACCTACACATACAGGGAAGGATAATATTAAAATGGACTTTATTGAAAAAGGAGGTGAGGATATGCACTGATTTATCTGGTTTAGGACAGGGACCAATTCTTTTGAACACTGTAATGAACTTTCTGGTTCCATAAAAGATGGGAGATTTCTGAAGTAACTGAGTAGCCTTTGGTTTCTCAAGAAGGGCTCTGCTCCGTGAAGTTAACTGGTTATTACTTAACAAGTGCAAACTGAAACTATATAAATGATTATCTGTAACTCTGAAATGTTGATGTTCCAATTTTAGAGGCCACGGCTTTGGATCCTGTCAACAGTGAGGAGGTAAGGAGGGGAATGATATATACTAAACAGAACTAATTTCACAATGGCAGTAACATACTATCTCCAGCACTACTTACCAAATGGAATGCTTTGCTATCTGGTTTGATTTTATGCCTATCCATGTACTTTACTAGTGAACAATTGGAATAACTGTAATGAAAAAATTACAACAGTCAGTACTAAAAAAATTAAATTAGTTAAAATAGTATCCTTAAAGAACACAGTAATGTAATTACATTTAATACAAAAATAAATATGTTATTAAAGAAAAATAAAATGCATTCCAAATATATAAATACATTATTTTCAATAATAATTAGGCTTACAGCACTTCTAGTCTTTTTTTAAGTGCCTATCTTAGTATAGTAACATACAGTAAACCTTCATTAATCCAAATTAAGTGATAATCTGAATTTGTGAACCAAAAGGTAGCCCTAAAACACAAGAAACTTAGAACAAATAAATGGAAAATTTAATGACATAAGCAGTGCTGATGAAAATAAATAAAGTATCACTGTAGAGCCTTTATTTAAAAACTGTAAAACAACAATACATTTATTCATTGACAGAAGACTCAGAAGTTGTACTTGTTTCAAATGTAATAATGCAGGTAAGATCTAAAAGTTTGTGACAAAGGTACATTAATACAAATATTACGTTTTTGGACATTATCCATTGTCCTGTTTCTTATTTATACTTATTTCTGTTTTTATATAAAAACAGGATGCTGGGTAATGTCCAGAAACATGATATTTGTGGTAGTAATGTGGGTTTGAAGACAATGTCAAGTTTTGTCTGAACAGACAAGTGACACATCTGCCCTCCTAAAGCCATGTCTCTTTTAAAGTATGTACTCAGCTGTGAACAGCATCCTTCATATTTTGATCTGGATTAATGATGGTTTACTGCAATTGTGGCTGCTGGGTTAGCATTTTTTGTTAGCGAGCACATCACCACAGGATTAAATCTTAAGTTGGTATTTCTTCTATCAGTTGCAATTGCAAACATGTTACATACACATTACTCTTATTCTTTTTGGAGAAGTTTATTATTTTGTACAGACTGTAACTATGTTAAATATGTCACAAATAACCTTAAAGTTTCACACCATTAATTATGTAATTGTTGACTTATAAACAATACTCCATGTATAATGTGTAGATCTATGTTTATATAAAATTTCTTATTCCCAGCTTTAATGATTCAAAGATTATCACTGTCAAACTGAAAGCTATGTGAATATTTTCAGTTGTCCTATATTCTACAATAAAATATGCATTATTTTTCAGAGATCTATTACTGTATACAATTTCAGGAACTTACATAAAGTTCTGCTAGTGTAACTCTCACCTCAAAAGTTTGCATGTCTACCATGTTGTTGTTACTACTTACGGGAAATAAAAGAGTACAAGACTTTTGTAGCCTTCAGTAGCACAATGTCCATACCAGATTTAATGAAAATTGACTATTTGCTTTAAAACTTAATAAAGAGGGTGAGTGAACACACAGTACACTGCAATACTACAACTGCTGTATCTAGTGAAACCAACACAACTGTTGACTGTCTTTATTATCATAACTTCAAACATACAAAAGGGCATTCATATTTCATGCATAACATGAATAATGGGAACATAAAGGAAGTAAAATTCTGTTAATATAACGTAATACAGAATATGATGCCATGTAGTTTGGTAGAAAGTAAGTAGGAACCTGCTACCTCCATATATAGGGTTGAAGATATTACTCCTTTCTGACAGATGAAAATAACTTCTGCATTATACATGGTGATGGAAATGGGTCCAATTTCCAAAACAGTGCATATCAAAACATTTAAGATGAGGAACAATGTTCCAAATAATGCTCATGTTTAACCCTCTGCTGCGATTAGACTGAAGTCAAACATGCATACGTTACCGTACAGCGCAACATTCAACTTCATATGGTTAGGTAACATATCCGTCAACACAATAAGAAAAATGATATTTCAATTAAAATCAATATCATATAGACTGAATTTTATTGTTTACTGCTACATGTTCAGGAAGTGTATATAACAAATATGATAAAGTTAATTGAAATCTCAATATGGATCCATATTGTGGTGCAATGCATCTATATTATAAAAGTTGTAGAAAATTGTGTCTTGTGTTATGATGAAAATTACAATATTGAAAAATATCAGAGTATACAATAATTTATATTTAAAATATTAGTGGAGGTAATTAAAAGATGTTGTATATTATGACTATGGGATTTACAATATGAATAAATAGTCAGATATTACAAAACTAAAAATATAAAATGATATTATATAATTATGGAGAATAATTCCTCATATGGAGTTGAAGGTTCTGATGTGTAGTAAATCATTTGAATCCATGTTTTTTTAGCCTCTCATGATGCGGATGTTACTTACCCAGAGTTGTGTTGTGTTGAATGTATTAATTTGTATGCTAAATAACGTCTTGGATATGGGTTGTAATGTATTGTTTATTATCATAATATGTAGGTCTGTTCTATTTGTATGGGCGTTGTGTGTCTTGGTTTGATTCACTGTGCTATGAAAATGCATTTATTGTTGGTTTTCTTGTTCATACTTTTACCTTAACATTTCATTACTTTAGGAAAATGGTGAGACAATAATATATAGCAAAAGGGTTTTTGTCCTCTCTTACAAAATAAACCCTTGTAGTATAATATGTATGAATGGTTTTTTCATGTTCATGTTGTCACAAGGATAAGATACTTATACTAAAAACATACTTAGCCCTTTTGAAATCTTTGAGCAATGTTGGATGTTCTGGCATTTTCTTGATATCTTCCCAGTCTTTTTCTAAGGGAAAACCCATCACATTGAATATCCTATCTAGTTGGTCATGGTGATATGGATTACTAGTTTTAATATCTTCTTGCCGACAATGAAATATAGGTTCTGACGTTAGAAGCTCAGCGAATATGCATCCTATTGCCCAAATATCTGTAAAATAAACAACTAAACATCCTTACACATGAAATTTGAGGTTCTCATGGTGGTGAATGTTACAATTAAAGTCTTCTGTGATGTGATATCACACCATGACAGATAAGACACCAACATCTCAGAGGAACCTCCTGCCTCAATCATCTCTACTGAAGATCGAGACAGATGGTTCCTCTGAAATGTTGACACCTATCTACCAGATGTCACAACAACATATCCCAGGATATAGTAATATTCATATTCATTTGTGGCTTCTGTGCATGTTTTCAGTGGTTTGATCAAACCAAACTGTATACTTTACCTATAGCTTTAGTATAGTGCCTAGCACCTAAAAGCAATTCAGGCGCCCGATACCAGAATGTTACAACCACTGGATCCAAGTCTGCCAGTGGTTTCAATGGTGCATTAAACAGTCTAGCAAAACCCATGTCTGCAATCTTTACCCTGCCTCTTTCTGGTCCTTCACCCATTACGAGGATATTTGCGGGTTTCTGAAAGCAACAAATTAAAGATCCTTTATTGCATATAACTACAATTATACTACTTCATACAGAGATCAAAGGAATACTGCCTTTTTTAAGAAAAAAAAATGTTCTTATTTGCACTATTAATTCTTCTGTACAAGACGTTGGTAGCCTTCTCCAAAATTTTTGTATGTGACATAGAAATAAACTTCAAAAAATTGACTCAAAACAATTTTTTATGCTGTTTAGCACCATTCATAATGGAAGTGATGTAAATGTTACTAAGAGATCTTCATTAGAGAGGAGAAAAAAAAACATTCTTACAAAGGCCACACTAAAACTGTGTACATAAAATCGATAAACAAATGCAACACTCAGTACCTCTGAACAAACCACTGAAAACACTATTCATCACCCGTATATATTACTTAAACAGCTCAGGAGTATTACCAGGTCTCTGTGTAGCACCCAATTGGAATGCAGATAGTGAATTCCATCTAAGATCTGATATAGAAGGGATTTTACCATTCCTTTAGGAACCATTACCGGTTTCTTGTTTGCTTTAGCTGCTCTGTGGAATTTTATTATGTGCTAAAAAGAAAAAAAAAAGAACATGTAAACTGCAGTCATATTATGAAGAGAAAAAATACCAATATACTGACTATTGAAAAAAAAAATTGGAACTGCAAATTGGATAAATTAATATTTCAATCATACAAGGTAAAAGCAGGCAGAGTTGGCCCTGTGCTTAACTAACTAAACACTAAGCCATGAAGGTGTATGGGGGAATGGATGTATGGATCGTTTTCTTGACCTCGGTACTAGCTGGAGGTAAGTGGTCAGTTTTATGCCCCTGGCCACTTTACCCCCCGAGCAGAAAAGCCTCCAGTACCCATTGGATAGGAGGCTGGGTGGGTCCCAGATCCGGTCTGGATGACATGGAAAAGTGAAAATTCTTGACCCTAACAGGACTCAAACTCTGACCCCTCGGTCATCCAGCATGTAGCCAGTCACTATACTGACTACGCTATTCCAGCTCTATTTCAATCATATAAATGTAACTAAACTAATGGATAACTACATATGATAAGGTTAAATTTATAAATCTACTAGGCTCTTGCAAGATCTCAGTTTCTCACAGCAGAGGTTATCGTCTGGTGTATAACGCCATGTAATCCATTGTATGTTATTTTATATTTTGGAGGATTATGTCCTATTCATCTTCAGGGTCAAAGAATAACAAAGAAGCAAGGTGCTTGCTACCTTCTTCACTTTGGTTTCTTGCTTGGCTCATTCTTCATCCCTGAAGATCGAGGCGACATGTTCCTCTGAAGTATCAGTTGACTTTCAAAGGACCACACAGTGTTATATCTTAGGCAGAACTCTTCATAACTAGTGCTGTGAGAACCTCAATTCTACATTTAAACAACCTATTCTGCATATCATATAGCATTCTGTGGTTCACAACTGTTAAGCTTCTAATTAAATTAAAGCCAAAATATTTTACATACCCATAGATCATGTTCAGCATAATCAAATAGCAAAAAGACTTTCCTGTCATTATGGGAAAGGAAGACTCTAATGAGGTTTATCACATTTGAATGTTTTAATTCACGTAGCAACTGAAAAGAAAATTATCTACATCAGATTACTGTGGTCATAAAAACATTGTGAATGTGTAATATTTCTGCATCTGGCAAAAATATGCAAGGGCAAATGAAGTGCGCTGATATTCTTGAATAATATTATTACCTTGACATTGTGTAGTCTGGTAGATGGGTACCAGCATATTTTTGGAGAAACATAAAGCCCTCATCTCTAAAATAGAGTCCTCCAAATGCTGGAACCCACCTAACAGATTACATTATGTCATAATGCAGAAAACGACACTATGAATTTTCACCATCGTAGAAATGTCATATCTTACATGCTGATGGACTGTGCCTACAGCAATCATAAGCTGATGTTATCACATGCTCCACTGTAATATTAGAAGTGAACAAGTAACACATTTTGTCAGTCACATATTTTTTTTGCATCACTTCACTTTTAAGTCCTAATATTTGACTATGATGATTACTTGATACAACTTGCATTTATTCAAATCCTGTTTACCATTATTACAATGGATTTTCACAAATCATAAATGGGAAAACTCAAAATAAAAATATACTATTTGGGAGAGTGTTATTTATGCTTTGAAAAAGGTAAAGCTATCCCTGTAACAGAACATCAAGGCTCACACATTTTCTAGACAATCAGCTCACAAATGGCAGTGTGGTTGTCAGCCTTACATGCCAGTCACCTTTTATATCCAGGAAGATTCCTGGTATTCATTTCTGTTAGAGGTTGAGTCGACCACAGGGCCATAGCGCGGCTGAAAGGATTAGGTAAAATTAAAAATCCAGTAGCCTCATCAGGAGTCAAAACTATGATCTTCCAGCTTGTGGCATAGTGCCTCAACCAACTGCACTAACAACAGGGAGCAGAGAAGGGCTCTTGTGAACATGGCAATGAACCTTCAGGGTGCACACAATGTTGGAAAGTTCTTGAGTAGCCACAAAACTGGCAGCTTCTCAAGAAGGGCTGAGCTCCATAATGTTTGGTAGCATACTGCTCATCTTCAGCTTTGCTTTAACTGTGGCTCACGAGTATACCTGTCTCTTCTTGGGAACTGCTTTGGCAGTTTCCATATTAATATTCTGACAACTGATATTTCTCTCTCACAGAACAAACTGACTTATGAATCACTAGTGATTATTACTTACAGCAATTTCTCTACAAGCAGACATAGACAAGCCTGTCCCTTCTATCTGTTTTAAGGCATAATCTCTTGGATCAGACCTGCAACATAATTAAAATTTATTTTCCATAAAGAGGTGATGTACTTGCTGATAATGGTTATACCAGAATTGAAAGTAATGTCATAATCTAAATATCTATCTACAGTCTTTTATTAAGTTCTGAAAACCTCTGGAAATGTATATTCTACTTCTGAATTGTTTAAAAGTTATGACTGATATTTTTTAAATCATACATTCCTTGCTATGCCTATACCATTATGAAATTTGTTATGAAAGCATTTTATTTCCATATTAAACAAGATATAAAAAGCAATAAAACACTGCACGATTAAAATGATATGATTCAGCCACTGCCTGGTTAAAAAGATAATTTATTTACTCAAGTTTATTTTAGTTCAGTGATGATGTACTGGGCATTAAACTCAAGAGAAATCCTACAAACATCCATCTCAATACAAATACCATACAGACAGAGGGAAAACTGTAAATTCATGTAACAGAGGGATGTAATTTGTTACGATACAAACAACTGGAATTTATTTACATTCCTTATATCCTTTATGGGGCTAAGCTATGCATGTATCCTTATAAAAGTACAAATAGTCAAACAATATAAAGAGCACAATGTGATCAAAGAAGTTTGCATAACATAAGTAAAGACTGAACTGACTACAGATGCAAAACATTAATAAATATAGATCTTTGATTCATACAACTATAGCACGCATAATTAAATTGATTTGCTGGCCAATGTCTAATACAAGAAGTCTTAGATGTTTACTGTCCGTGATGTGATGCCATATAGCATGGGAGATGTTTACTACAATTTCTCAGAAATAAAGTTCCTCTAACTTCAGGAAAAGAGGGCAACTCTTCTCTTCTACCCTGCAGATGGAGGCAGTACGTTCGTGCGAAACATCGATCAACACCCATCAGACTGCATGGCGTCACATATTAGACGGCAGTAATTTTACTACAGAACCTAAAATCTCAAATAAATATTAAGTTCGTACAGCCACAGAATACATAATTAAACCAATTTGCTAGCCAGCGTTTCTAATGTGTGCTAATTATTATTACTTGATTCGGTGGCACGTTTTACGCACGTCGGAAAGCTTTTGGGAGTTACTACCCTTCTAGGTTATGTTCATTTTTCAAACTGTGAGAACGCGAACTTTTACAAAATGCACATAGGATTATTATAGTAACAACAGCTTAAAATAATGTAGTTTTCTAAAGAAAGATAAGATATCGCACCCATCTTTTCTCCGAGCTTTGTAAACATGACCGTACGTCCCGCGACCGACTTTACAACCCTCGTAATCAAACAAGTCTTCTACTTTGGCACGTTCTGACGCTGTTTTCAGTTTGAATTCGTAGTCCATCATTAAGGAAGACGATTAAGTAATTATCCCTGCAAAGGAGGTTCAGTCCCCCTGAACTCCCTGAAAGTGTTTTGGGCAACAATGACATGTAGCTAACAATTATTCACCATTACAATTATGGTCGATTACTGTCACAGATAACCTATTACGGTTGTCTGTTGTCTTCTATGATTAACAATTTTTATCACCAGAGTTCACGAAAAGCACTTGAATATAGCCAACTCTTACGTATATCGTTGTAATTTCCCTTGAATATTTATGCTGTTTTAACCTTGTTCTGGCTTGGGGAATGGAGAAGTGCTGTAATGAGTGCTGTAAAATACGGTTCACAGTATATAATCACGGACGTTACAACAGTAAAGTTTATTGGACAGTGGATAATTGCAGGTAATTTGTGCATTAACCTTAACTAACAAAGTATGACAGATGTCACGGCGGTGAAGTTGAAGACTACCGGCGGCAAGGTTGTGATGCGGTGTAGTCTGGTTGGATTTTTACCAACGTTTCTAAGTGAACTACTGGCTCCATCTTCAGGTTTAAATGTGGAAGGAACACATTCCTTCGATGCATTGACAACGATCTACCAAATTAAACGGCATCACATGCCAGAAAGCAGTAATATTTGTTATAACTGCGAAATTTCTTGAATATGGAGGATATGACGAATTTAACGCCATATGGTTACTCTCTGTATCAGGTACATTAAGAAAATCGTAGTTTTGCGCACACTGTATTTATGTGTCTGATATGATCCTTAAAATAGAGGGCAATTATTTCCCTAAACAGTATTAACTGACTGGCTCTTGTAATGGAGACATGTGCAGAGTACTGCTTCTAAGCCACATGCTTAAAACCTGGCTCAGAAATAGTCCTGGACAGAACCCACAGAGAACCAATAAGGGCAAGGAGAAGAATAACTAATGCCCACTCTGAAATGGGCCATATTGCAAAACTAGATATGGAGGAAGGTGGGAGGAAGCACCAAGAATGACCAGTGTGAGTTGTAGGTGGACCTGGAGGCAAAAGAGGCTGTAGGTAGTGTGATTGGAAATGAAAGGAAGAAGCAGTGTGGAAGGCTTGGGCCAGTGAGTGGCATGTAAACCGGAGTGTGCCTGGGCCTAATAGCATGATGGGGAATCTCATCATGGGAAGTCCTTTGGAGGAGGCTTCCTACACTCCTTCAGGGAGTAACTAAGAGGTTTCCATGGCTTAAGCAGAAGCCATCCTTCTGCTCACAATATTTGGACGGAGCTGAATCACCCATTTTTATGCAGTCCATGGTTAGGAATTTGGTGGAAACGATACTGCTTATTTGTAGCTGACTGTGATGTCACAAGTTGATGCTGTGCTCCACCATGGCTCACTTTTCCAGATGATCAGGACTTCATTTTGCTCATGTTTGATTCTAGCCAAGTTCCTTGCAAAGCCTTTGTGTGAACCAGGTTCTCCTTACATGGCTTACTTTGCTTATGGCATGCATCTTCCTGGTCGTTTGCTGGGCTTACTCCTCAATCCCGAAAATGGTGTCAATATGTTCCTCCAAATTGTTAGTAAATTTCTACCAGACAATAGAGGCCATGTTCCAGAAGAGTACCCTTAATTTCTTCACTATATAAACCAACAATAAGGTTCTAATGAACTTAGTCATTACAAGTTATCAGGAAGTCCACAGATGAAGTGATATTCCAGGACTATTCAGAACTTCATAGAAATAATGTCAAGAAAATCTTTATGTAGAATATTCAGATTTAGTTTCTGAATATGTGAATCACCATGCCAATCAAGAATGTATTTTAATGCCTGTTTATTATTCTAATTGTATTTTAGGTATTGGAGGGTGTATCCATGTCTTTGAAACTCAGTCTGGTAAATTTATCACCAGGGAAAAGATTTTTGAAGGACAGAGGGTCCATAATATTTTTGCTGGTAGAAACCAGAATATAGCAGTCATTGGAGGAAAGATGGTCCGAATATTTAAGCTTGAAAGGGAAGGTAATTTTGTGTGAGTACATTTGTATTTTAAGTTTGTTAATTATTTTGTGAATAATAACTATCTTGTACAGATATTGATTACATTTATTGTCAGTGATAACTTTTATTTTAGAAAGTACTTCCAGAAAAGTATGAAATACTTATTAAAACAGTTACCTGAAATAAGTTATTATTAAGAAGGCATCAAATAACCTATAACTTAAGAATACTAAAATGTGTTACAGTTTTGTGTTTAATGTTTATATGCTAATAGTGTTTAAAAAATTACAGCTAAAATTTTAGTTCTGATAATAACCATGTAATTGAATAAACTGATTGGTAATTAACATTTCTTTCTTGGTTTCTGGAACAGATTATCAGTTTTCAGTTCAAACCTCATTCTCTCCCACCTTTCTCTGCTTCAGTTATGCAAAAAGTAGAGAAAGAAATTGCATCAGGACTCAGACACAGTAGCTTTTCCAGGATTTTAAATTTCCTGGAGTCTCATATGTGCAGTCAGTTTGTTGAGATCTGAATTCCATTGGGAAGTGCCTTATAAAGCGTGACACACACTTGGTAGTAATTATAATTTTCACAGACTTTCTACATATGCATCGTGGGCTGCAGACGACTGGATTCAGTACTTACATTGGCTTGACTGTGGAAACATTGCCATCGTTACTGCACACAATGTTGTCTCTCTGTGGAACAGCAGAACAGGAGAGAAAGAGAGAGAGATATTCTGTGAAGTGAATTGCATTTTGTATCCTTGAAAAAATATGAAGTTACAGATTACATAGAAATAACATTAATTATTTCATTAAATTACTGTACAGAACTGTATTTTTAAAATCGCTAGTTTTTGTTGGAATCTGAAGATGTTACTAATGTGATCCATATAACTAAATATGTGAAAATTACTTTCCATTAATTAAGTGAAGAAGACGCAAGTGGTGAATAGATCTGGCCGACCTTGACTGTTGCACTAGTTAATGAGGGACAGATGCTTCAGTTTACCAATGGCAGTGGTATTTGTCCAGAAATTATGTTAATGTTTTCATGTTGGACAATACATGCAGGCAAATCTTGATAATTGCCTTGTCATCTGCTCATTGGAGGATAATATAAACCTGAAGAATACAAGTCTTTCTGGGCAATCACCGGCTTTGATATGGAGTAAGAATCTGACATACTGGAGACTGTCTCAATCTTCATGCAAGTTTGTACCATCATCCATAAAAAAATATGTTCCCTCTGCATCAGGTCTTTCAGCTAAAACATCTATGATTCAGTGTATCTCTGGGGAAATACAGTAAGAACAGTTGACATCCATAATGCCTAGCACCCTGTCCACTGCAGTCATTTTGTCAGAACATTTTCTCTGTGAACTACTTATCTTAGCGATATCTTTCACAGGATATTACAAAATGTGAAGCTGTAAGAGCAATTAAACATAAGTTTCAGAGGTCAAGCTCAGTAAGTGACTGATAGCAGAATAACTTGTATGACTGCCCTGTTATTCCCAATTTTCCTAACAGCTACTATAATAATAAAACACTACACAACATTTGAAACCCACTGTTTATTTGCACCATTGTTGTTACAACGTCACAAGTTTTCCAGTGGCCATGTTGGTAGTGTTGATCACAGAACAGTAGAAAGCAGGGGCAGTAACCAGTGGCATGACATTCATACCAAAGATCATGAAAATCACTTGATTAGTCTCCATGGTATTGTTGTTTGTAGCCGAAGCAAAAGACAGAAATATAAATATACAGTTTATTAATAAGGTTCCTTTTGAACCTTACAAGTTAAGAAAGTGGCAGTTTTCTTTGTCATAATACTCTGTACACATACATACGTATATACTTGTGCACACTTGCATGCATGAAATATCCAGTATCATTGATGGCTGTTAGCAGCAGATCATGACTTTATACAGAGTGAGCACAAAGGAGCTTTGCAACTGAGCACTAAATATTAGTGTTACAGTTGTATGTAATTGTATTATATACAGTAAACTTAAATTTTTACATGGCTTTGAAGCTGTAAAGCAACTATGTGCTTACCCTGAAATGCAAATTTTCTTAACAAATATCAGATATTGTGCCTTGCTTGATGGATTATCATGGAGTGACCTTGTTGTATTTACTGGTACTGTGTTTCAACAAATTTTGATATGGGCTCCTGCAAGTGTGGAGGAAGACACAGTGAATAGCCCTGTTCTTCATACTTTGAAAGGCCATGATGTATGTCACAACTTCATTTTCTTTAAAGAACTGTTAAAAATTTGCATTAACAATACATATAGGTCATATCTCTTAAATATTCAATTTATAGCCTAAATTTCTTGATGGATCCACAAACATATCTAGAATCATTTTCTCAGACAGTCATGATGACAGATAATTACTGCAAAATGACCAGACTGAGCCTAGACCTTAAAATAATGTGACATGACATTTGGTCACTTCCACATTATGTTGTTTGAAATGTAAAGTGGTTGGACTCAGTATGACATTTTACTAGAACATGATTTTTCAAATATTGCACTGAGTTTGATGAAAGTGCTCCATAGAGGTCTCTTTATTTTAACATAATGAATGACATGCCACCAGACAAAATTACAGTTTATATTTATGAATTTTAAAATTGTACTCTGTACAGCAATTGATAGGAGTACAGTGTCTCAAGAGTCAAATCATAGTCTGAAAGGGGTGTTACCCAGCAACATAGATTAATAATATTTATTCCATCTTGTTTCCAACAGGGGGTGATATTCTCTGTGTCATATGATCCTGACTCTAATTATATTTGCTCAACATCTGATGATCGCAGTGTGAGGTTATGGTCTGTAGATTTACAGCTATCTGATGACTGTAATCGTGTAACCCAATGGAAAGAGGCAACAATTACTTTGCTACACACTATGTATGGCCATACTGCTCGGGTTTGGAGGAACATCATAATAGACAATGTAATCATCAGTGTTGGTGAAGTAAGTTTTGAACATTTCATTGTTTTGGACAGTGCAGTGGAAAAATACTCAGCATATTATTGACAGAACTGTTCTGCCAAGCATACAGAGTTTTGTAACTAGTTTTTTGCTTCAGCAAATAAATAAACAAGCAAATGTAAGAAATTAAAATCCTTGATGGCAGTTGAGTTTGACCGATTCTTGACTAACTTAATGGCACTTATAATAAGACCATAATCACAACTTGTCACATTTTAGGATTCATGTCTGTGTGTATGGCGTACTGATGGTTCCCTGCAGAAATACTGGAAGACTCACCAGGGCGCAAATGTCTGGAGTGTGGACTGCAGTAAGGAGAAAAATTTAATAGTAAGATGGAAGCCTATGTAGAAATGAAAGATAGAATAAAATATTGGGACTCTGTTGAACATGTGGTCTGTCTCAATATGAATAATAAAGAACCAATTGTTAGAATCTAGAATAAGTGTTCAGAAGGAGCAATAAGTTATTAATTTATAATTATATTTATTGATTTTATATACTGAACATGTAAAGAATTTTGTACTTACAGTAACACATGTCCCCCCTCCAGTTTTTTATACAGTAGCTGGAAAAGACCAGGAAAATGCACAGTTCATCTCTGTATTTTTAAGTTATATTATGTATATGTTAATTGATTTCGTTATAGTGTGTATGAACAAAATATCCAATACAGTTCATCTGTGATGCATTCCTAACTCAATATGGACTGAAACCTATACTTTATCCCCGCTTACTGCACTGTATCATGTGGATAAGCTAGAATTGAATCACTTAAATCATATGTAATGTTAGGATAATATCAGTGCGTTCAGTAGGAATATGAACAACATATGTTATGATAGTTACGCACATCTCAGTGGACTATAGCATGATCAGTTATAGATGCTATTTGGAAAAATAATCTGCAACTCCCTCCATGTCTAATTGATGAACAGAACAGTGGGGCATGTTGAATTACCATTTAAAAATGAGGTAGGTAAAGGTAAGGTTAGGTATGTCCCAGCACTTAATTAATTAAGCACCACTCCATGGAGACATGAGAGGGGAATGGAGGTATAGCTTCACCATTCATGACCTTGGCACTAGATGGAGGTGAATGGTCAGCTTCATTCCCTGGCCTCTTTACGCCCAATGAAAGATCTGCTTGAACCCATTGCACAGTAGGCTGGGTGGGCCCCAGAGTTAGGCTGGATGCTGTGGAGAAAAGAAAAATCTTTCCTCTGTCAGGAATCAAACCCCGTTCATCCTCCCCATAGCCTGTCACTATACTGACAGATATGCTGACTCTAGGCTGTGAACATTAAAATACTTCATTCTTCTTCCAAAACAAGTGAGAAATATGTGTAATCAGTGATTGTGTAAATATTAATTTATATTTACATGTGTCACCCAACAAACTGAAATAAGAATTACCATCTGCTCCTAATCCAACTGGGAGAGAAATAGTGATATAATAATTTTGAAGGCTGCTTTTCAAGGTTGCTATATAACTAATGTTGAAAAGCAAGTCCATAGACAGATTTCTCTTATATGTTTTACTGTTGGGGAACTTCTCATTTGAAGGACGGGAAAACACGATAATGTTTTTCATGTATGTTATCTTCACAGGTTACTGGTGGAGGAGATGGAGGAATCAGCTTGTGGCCACTTCATACAGAAAGTGCAGTTCCAAATTTTCTGACATTCAGTGGAAACTTATTTACTCAAGATTTCTGCAGTATGAAAGGGCAGAATGGAAACTTTCCTCGAAGAATTGGATTGACAAGCAAGGATAATGTTGTTGCTATAACAGACAGTGGATGTTTGCTATATTGCACAGTAGTGGGCAGAGGACAAGGAAACTGGAAACTCATGCACCAGGATGAAAAATTGGCAAGCTATTGCCTTCTGGAAATGTCTCCTTGCAGACAATATGTGGCACTTGCATCTATGGATGGCCATATCCTTATTTTTAAAGGTAAGTACANAGCCTGGCTCATTGTCAGATAGAGTGAGCCTGTCCTTATTGTTTGCATCCTGTTATGTGTCTTGATTTGCTATACTCTGTCAAAACAAATAATTTAAAATAAACCAATCTAGTTGTTTACATTGCTTTTATTTAATAAGTGCTACATGTCCATATTTTGGGCCAGCTGCAAGCAGTTTCTTTAAGCATGTTATTGAAATATCCTGATATGGATCTATATTGGTGTTAAATCGTTATGATCATCGTAATACATGTAATTATTACTGAAACTGTAGAAAGATATTTTAAATTTTTAAAAATTCTCTCGTTGTTACAAAGTAAAAGTCTGTGTCATTTGTCGCATGTTGTAGATGGTGTTTATCTTCCAGGGTTCGCTGCCTGAGGATGGTCCAAAATATGGACCGAAACATGCGGCAGTTATTAAATAAAACCAATGTAAACAACTAGATTATTTTGAAATATTTGTTGAGTTGATTGCCAGAGTATCACAAAATAAAGTAGCCTGTATACCATTGTTACAGATGTTCATTTTGACATATACAGGGAGATCAAAAAGCCACGCACATCAAACTAAATATTGTTATGACTATGCTATCCTGGCTCATGGTGTACAGAAGAAAATACATTTTGAAAGATAAATAAGTTTGCTGGTGGAAATATTAAGTTTGGGTACACTGGGCAGCTAGAAGATGCAACATTTCTGGATAATTTCAAAACTGTTTTGTTTCTGTTTTTCATGTCTTAAGACTGTTCATCTGTACATGGGAAAGGCCTGATTCTTAATGTTGAAGAAAAGGCAGTAGTAGGAAGAATTTTCTCTCTTCACTGGCTGTCATCAGATAACCTTTTGAGTTGTGGCCCTAATGGTATATTGGAAATGTGGAAGCTAGGTGAGTCATCAAGCCAGCTGGTTATCACAATGTATTGGATATGATTCGAACTTCGCATTTAGGTCATTCCTAATTAATGTTTTTCATAGTTTTCTTCAATCCATTCAGACCATCAGGATGCCACCTTAGCACATACAGTCTCAGTTATTTAACTCTTTCTGTATTATTGATGAGATAATGCACTTGGAAACACTGGCCATCTGCTCCCAAAATCTTTGATGTAAAAATGTGTTTCTCTTGCAATATTTCAGTCATTTCACCACTGAAAATTATATCTTAAGCTTTGTAAGTAGGTATCTTTTAGAGTTTGGTAAAGTGGGATGGAATAGCCAGGGCTGGACCTACACGGTGGTATGTGCTTCTATGCACACCAGCCCACATTCTTCTGTGAAGAAGAGATAAAAATATTTTGAATGATTTGTTTATAATTTCCTGCGATATGTTACACATTGTTCCAGTGGAAAATATTACTGAAAGGTCTGCAACCTGCATTGTGAACTCATCATAACAGAATCACTCATTTGTATTAATTTAACAGATTGGTATAAATTAAATCTGGCAGCTTCCTGCCACATTCAGAATAGACTTTAAGAAGCATATGTATATTATGCTGAATTTCTTTTTGTGATAGGCCATCCACAATGGTTACAAAAGATGAATGAGTTTGAACTGCCAAAAAGCAAGGAACGGTGGATTTCAGCAGCTGCTTTGAGGGAAAATTTTCTTGTTTGTGGTGACAGAAATGGTAGTATTCATCTGTTTAAAATAGTTGACAACCAGACCAACAGTATTCAGGTATGTTACAACACCGTGTTTTAATTTCACGTTCATTTCTACTTACATAAGGTGATACATTGAACTGGTAGTGTGGTCTCTTTCTACTCCATTGCTTAATCTGATGGACCATGAATTTCAAAATATTCTTGGATGTTCAATAGGAAACTCGAACAGAGAAGGTAGAAACAGAAAGTGGGGAATAATGAAACAGAAAATTTACCTCTTTATGTATACCGGATTGTTGTTTTTGTGTTACAGTGTCCGTCTCAAAGCTTTTATAAAATCCATGGTCGTCTAGGAGTGAGCTCATTGATTTGGTATGGGAACTGTTTATATTCAACCGGACGTGATGGAACTGTGCGGCGATATCTCATGTTGGAGAATGAGGGCAGATTAGAATGTCTGAATGCAGACAAACTGCCGATGGAGTGGCCTGCAACTACTAGCTTGTCAGCCTTTGGACTCTTAGTTCTTGGCTTCAGAGCAGTAAGTGCCTTGAAGTACATCATGTGAAACTGTGTAAGCTGATGGACAGTTTCGATTTTGTGGATGGAAATGTTGCCATAAAATGGCCCGTTTCTAAGCTTCAGGGATCAGAAAAAAAGAGTCAGTCCCATGGATTTCACTTGAATGGTATTACATACAAATATGGAGCCAATCAATAAAGTGACAGACTGAATATCAGAGAGTAGTGGTTTGTGCTTCTGCTTAATATTCAGGAGAGGGCTGCTTTCAGGTCTGAGCATAGTATTATGTCCTCTGACTGAAATTGTTCATAGTTCATGAAGTTCATCTTTCAAGCTAACCTCATCTACACATGGTGCACCCTGTTTTCACAAACATGGGTACAGGAATCACTTTATTGTGTTGTAACCATTCATCATATCGGGTGTGGAGGAAATATTGCTAATTCCAGAAGCTAGTGTAAGTGCAGCATTAGTGTTACATATATTTAGTAGAAGAAGTGTTACTACCTGATTCCAGAATACTGGGTCATAGTAGCATAATCATTACATATGGTATGAACAAAATACCACCATCAAAATTTTAGAGCATGTTGCTTAAATTTAGGTTTAACAGGCTTAAATATTTTGTTCCGTTTAGTTGGCTTTAAACTGATCACTCTGTCAGAACAAAACAAGAATTCTGAATTGTGATAAGTTTCAGTGCAAGCCTGTCACCTCTATATAACAAATTCTTATTTATAAATTAAATAATTTTGTTTCCCTGAATTTAGCTTTATAGAAGTCTTACATTTATTCTTCTGAAAGAATTCTTAAGGAATAAAAAATGAAGGATTATGGGAGGAAAAAATAAATTAGAGACCTTTCATCCATTAACCATGTAAGACAGAAATGATTGTAGGAGAAGAAAAACATTTTACATTATGTGCAGTCTTGAGTTTATGTTCTAATTTATGCAGGCTAATTTTGTGATATGGAGTCATGTGGAACGAAGAAATGTGTTGACTATACCATGTGGAGGTGGGCATCGTTCTTGGGATTGGACGTTGGAAGGACATACATTCAGATTTATTTATGTGAAGGATAAGATGGTCCACATGTACACATGTATGATGAATGAGATCATAAAACCAGCTTTGCAGGTGAGGAGATTAATTGTTATGCTGAATGCTAATGATACATGAACTCAGTTGCATTCCTGATTAACAGTAGTACCATACTGTCACATGATTTTTGGGAGGCACTCAGTTTGAATCTCAGCAAGGACATTGATAATTGTATTTGAAGTTTTCATAAAAGTTACTGTTCTCTGAAACATGACACCGTGTAGTCCAGTAGAAAGTTGCTAATTTTAGGACACTGCTGCCTATTCAGTTTAAAAATGTTCTACAGTAATCATATTCATTGCCATAAGAACCTCATGTCTCATGAAATTTTCCACGTTTCGTACTACATAACGTCTGTGGTTAATAAAGTATTTTGAAATAACTTGCTTACAGATAATTTTAAATCTCATACAGTAAAACTTTCATGATGAAATTATTTTATGAGTTAGCTAAAAAGTTGGTCTAGAAGTATGTATAGATAAAACTGAGCACAGTGTGGGCACATTTTGTATGAGGGGTGCATTTCTGGAGACCTTGCATAATTCAAGATAAATTTTCTCATAGGAATAAATTCGCATAATTTCAAACTCTGCGCATAAAGTGAGACTTTATTAATATTTTTTTATATCACATTGTCACAGAGTCAAAATCTGCAGTAAGGTCATCAAATTATACATGTATTATGTTGCACATTGTTCTTTGTCTGGGACACATTTGATACATAGTTTTGGAAAACTGATCCATTAGCTTCATCATATGTGTGAGGGTAAAAGGGTCCTACTCATTTAGGCTGATTAGAAAGAGCTGGTCTTGTTCACCGGAAGAAAGAAATGTGATGATCTAAGAATGTCACATATTCTATTAATATCAAATATCAACAGCAGGAGATAATGTACCTCAGATTGTGGATAGTGCCCAACATAATACCTGTATAATGAATGAACCATTGTCACAGACCTCTAGAGAATCAGTCATAATACTGTAACCAATTCTGACACCAAATGTAACATGTTTTGTCTCTGTAGACGCCGTTCAGATTGTTAATCAGTTTATTTAACAACCAACAAATTGTAACTACAATTAATTATAACACAGTTGCGGGCTTACACGCTTTACAAACCCTACTCACAAATCTCTTCACACTATCTTCAGTAGTCTTTACTGATTCACAGTACAACATGGCGACTGCTAGACTTCTGCTGCGCTCGGCGACCGCTACAATTCAACTGTGTCACTCCTGATCACACACTCTTTTTACATACTGCTCAGCCGGCTTTTTATACCGATCCCTGTTGCCTCGTGTTACAGTGGTGGTTTGTGTTACATCACCGCGGGGGAGGGGGTGTCCTGCATAGTGCAAATATGTCACAATACATTTATGTGAAACCCCAATTTCTTGATTATCTGGGGAGAAGTGGAACTGGTATCTAAACTGAGGAAAATCTTAAATGGAGGAAATAGAACAGTGGGAATACTGACTTTAGTTAGTTCATTGAAACTGAGTGTTGAATGAATGAAAACCTTACATTTAGGTACATTAAATGGGTGTTCATCTTTAGTAAATCTCTTGAAAATATTTAATTATTTAAGTACCTGAGAATACTAATAATAACAAATATAAATGAGGTTTATGATTAAATTAGGAGATAAATAAATTATAAGTCCTTGTTCAGAAATGTCTATCATCCCATCTGTCTCCCAAAACAATAAAGGATAAGTCTTTGTAGTTATTTTGTATGGTCATGGTCTTTCTTGAAGGGAAGACTATAAATTATAAATGTTTGAAAACAAGGTGTTCAGAAAAATGGCTGGGTCCTGAGAAGGATGGAGTAAGTGGGCTATCTAGGACAAATTTTGTGGTTTATACCTCTTTTCTAAAATTGTTAGGATAATGAAATCAGGGACTTTTATCCTCTGTATGGCAGCAGTGACTAAATTGGCATGGGATATTTGCATTAAAATCACCATAGCTGAAGAGACTGACTCATTAAGCAACTGATACAACATATCTTTCAATAGAAGGCATGAAATATGTCATGCCAGTGCTTAGGAGGAAAGAACAAACCTTAATGTGATGTATACCTGCCTTCATTTGAAGGTCATACAACTGTGTTTACACCAAGGCATCTCAGGCAGTTCTATGGCGGGACTTGACTCAGACAGAGGGTCAAGATGGTCTGTGCAATATGGCTTGGCTGGGGAAGCCAGGGAATGTTTACAGAATTTTGGAGTGCAGTCTCTTGGAAGAAAATAATTTTGAAGAAGGATAATAACATTAAGATAGATCTGAGGGAAGTAGATTGTGAGGATGTAGGTGTACGGATGTGGTTCATCTCCAGTTCTGTACAGTGGTAAATTTTGACATTAACATTGATGAATCTTCAGATTCTGATAGCAGGTAGTTAGTTAGTATTTATGCACTTAACAGGTGCTTATACGTGTGTACCTCACTGTCATATTTGTACTAATTTTTTTTCAGAGCGGATTCCATTCAAAGCAAATTAGCTGCATTAGGCAAATCCCATTGCTGAAGGATGAAACAGGCAACAGTCACAATTTGCTTTTATCGGCAAGTGAAGATACAACAGTCCGATTGTCAGTTATCAGTAATTCCAATGTTCTGCACACCGTCACTGTACTGCAGAGTCATATTTCAAGTGTGCGTGCTTTAGCTGTTTATCAGATGCGTGATAGTGTCCTGGTTTTTTCTGGTGGCGGAAGGGCACAACTGAAAGTATGGAAGCTTGTCATACAGTCAGCGCAAGGTTAGTTGGTTGTGGGATTGAAGCCGAAGAACAAGAAGTTCTGACAGGAATCTATAATGCATACTTTCCTTCAAGTTCTTCAGTGATTTTTGTGATACTCTCAGTAAGTCAGGCTATATAGCATCAAATGGTAGGATGATTAGTTAGTAATGAATTAGAAAGATGTTAGAAAGAAGTTGTGCCGTAATTGAGGTACTTTCCTGGCATATGTCTGCAGGACTTAGGAAGACCATGAAAATCCTGACTTAGTATAGTTGGTCTCCCATTCAAGATTTGAACTGAACACCTCTTTAATACAAGTCTAGAGCATTAGTGCTATACCAACTTGCCCAGTCAGTGTGTATAGTAAAAATAACAGTAACTTTAAGAGAATAATTAAAAACTGAATGGTCCATTACTGTGTATAATTTCCACTACTACAGATTCTGGCTACATTAAAATGTTCAGATATAACCTCAAAGTTTTATATCATTGCTATGCTTAATGCTCAGAAACCATTTAAAATATAATTTGTATATATGTTTACAGTCTGTTTCCATGTATTGTATTGTATTTATTAGTCCACCATAGATCCATAAGAAATTAAAATGTCAGCGGATGTAGTTACCGTCAATAAAAATATGCAGTCAGCCTTGCAAAATTGTACTTGTCCAACAAATACACGACAGAAAAATATATGTGATCAACTGTGCAATAGGGCACATTGTCTAACAAAAATTTCACAACTATGCAAAGTAACATGTTAAAATTAATGCAGGAAAAAGTCAAACATAAAAGGCAAAAGATCATATATACATAATATTTCATATTTCATGTAAACTTATGTGACAAGCTTATTAATTAGTGCCACCAAACAATATTAAATATAGATTCTGCATGGAGAAAATGAGTAAATATAACCTGTTCAATTGAAACAGAAACACTGAAGAATTCAATAATAAATAAAATAAATCAGTCATATTTTCTACATGCCCCTCTTATGTCATGTATTCTTTTAACCCACTTTCCTTTCTTAAGAAAAGAAAATAGAATTATGAGATCACCATGCTGTTTGTATATGTGTGTCTCCCACCTTTTGACTTTTGAACTATTTTTATGGGTCTTGGAATGAACATTGTGTCATTGGAGGCCATATGAAAACCATACATTTTAATATCATATAATCAGTAATAACATGATGAATATGTAAGGTGGGAGTGACACTAATACCACTTAATGTAGGATCCTGATAATATGTATAGTAGTAGAACTTAAAAAATATAAGCAACTTTTATTAAGGTAATTTTTTCTTCTTATTTTTTTAAAAACCAAAAGTGACAAGATGGTGGTCATGCAGACTCTTTTTATTTCAGTTTTATGGTGATAAGCAATCCACTATTGGAGCTAGGCAAGTGAAATTTTATGTGGACATAGATCATTGACATGAATTGTGTATAAAAACAGTGATTGTAAGTCAGCAGTAGTAAAAATAGAAGATAATATAGACAGAATCTTTACTCAAGTAATAAATACTTCAGAAAAATAAATAAGAGTAGTAATAGATCTGAAGGAATAGAAATGTATGCAAAAAGAAAGAGATTTTATGAGATTTACTTGGATCTCCTTGATTGTCACATTTCTCACCCTGTTAATTATATAGTACATTTAATTACAGGATCAGTACCCCAGGTGAAATGCCAAGAATTAAGTTCCCACATGTTGAAGGACAGCAGTAAAAAAAACAAGAAACCATGGCTTTCAGTAGAACGAACTGTGGACCCTGAAACTCGATACATGGATCTATGTGCTGTAGTCCTACAATGTCAAGATCCTGATAAGACAGAAAGAGTTGTTCTTCTAGCTGCAGGGTGTTCAGATGGGTTTCTCAGGTAATAATTATTGAAGCTGTTGTGGTTTATCTGTGAAAAGTAACAGAAATATCAGAGGGAAAAGTCATGGATGATTTTACATGTTCTCAGAAATAAATGAATAAATAAACATTTTATAATGGAATTCATTGGTTCAGCACTGTTAGTAATGATAGCAGATACCATTGGTTAGTGTCCTAAACCAATTCAGTTGCAGTTCATATCGCACAATCTACTTCCATAACTTAAGATCTGAGGCCTTCAATGCAGCTAAAGTTGTTCAAATTTTCTCAGGGTAACAACCATGTCAATGGGTTAAAAATTGTAATCAAATGAAAAGATTTTATCTACTTCCTTAATAATTTTAACTCATTTACATCCATAAGTATTTATATCGTATGTTGTGAAAGTGTCCTGTTTCACTGAGAGCATATGAATGCTTGTTTCATCAAGTTTCAACAGTTCTTTGCTCTATGATACACATATTATATTGATGTCTGGTGTGGGAAGTTTCTAACCAGTATCATTGTTGTTAAAAGAGTTTCATTTCATTTTTGGTAAAATTTCACTGGTACCTAGGAATGTGTTTCAGGATGTGGTCTTCCAAGTGACTGTTTTCCATGAGATTTTCCCACCAAAATCTGTATACATTTCCTGTTTCTCCAGTTTGACCTATATGTTTAGTCCATCATAACTCCCTAGGTGGCCTGTATAAATCATTTATTTCCTTATTTTGTAATAATCTCCAATCTTTTCAAAAAGTAAATAAATAGAAATAAATGTACAAAATTGTCAGTGTTTTATAATTGCATCATAATAATTATTCACCATATATCACAGAATATTATCTTAATATGTGGCAGGTCAGCTGATGTCAACATTTCATCATCTTGTTTTCTGTAACTCTATTTTTCTGATTAAAAAATTTACTTCTGGAAGCAATGAACTTTGGCCTTCTGAATGTTTACAACTTCATCATATGATAAGTACAAGCACAGTATAAGGCCAAGGATGAGTCACATTGACCCTGACTTCTATTTTTTTTTATCATTTTGCACCAAAAATTTACCTCAGAACAGAGAGAAATGTTTGCTTTCAAATATGGTACATAAACTATATAAGTTTAATTGTGTTGTGTATTTATTTATTTATTTATTTGGTTGAGTTAAGCTCTAATATGCATAGGCTTCCACTCAGGATGTGGTGTACAGTCCTCAAATTACTTAACTTGAATTAAATTACGTTTTAATTTACTTATAATTTCTGTTTACATATTCTCATACTCAAACTTCATAGTTCTCCTTAACACTATTTTTTTACATAAGGTTAAGTAAATAACCTTAAATAAATATTTTCCAGTATCCCTAAGATAATTTTTGTTAGCATAACTTCATTGTATCAGATTTGTTCATGTAGAAGCTGGAATCTTATATAAATGTTTCATACTGTGTCTTTTTTGGACCTACGTATTTTCATTTTTAACATGGAGTTTCATGAAGATTTGTTGTTTTACCATGACTTTAAGTTAAACTATATAACTGTAGAAGTAACAATTGTGATCTTCTAAATTGTTACACCATTGTAGTCTTGTAGATAGTTTTTTTTTATTGCTAGTGGGGTTGGACTAAGTCCCTTGTACTGCGGCCACTTCTGGCCTGTTGTACCAGCCCCAGATGATAGGTGAGGGTGACTGGAGCAATTGGTGGCATGAAGATTGGCAGGGGGAACCGAAGTACTTGGAGAAAATCTGCCCCAGTGCCACTTTGTCCACCACAAATCCCACTTGACCAGACTCCAGATTGAACCCGGGCCACCGTGGTGGGAAGCCAGCGACAAACCACTTGAGCTATGATGTGGCCAAGACCTTGTAGATAGTTACTGACATTTCAGAATAATGTTCTGCCTCTATCTTCAGGGTTGAAGTGCGTAGAGTGAAGAATCATTTGGGTTATAAAAGCAAGTTGCAAGAAATGTGGTGACAGACCCCATGATAGAGGGGACAGGAGATGGAGTGTGGTTTGGGCCAATAGGAGTGGTGAACAAGAAAATTACCCTTATCAGAGCCACTTCTATAAGTATATGGTGTCACAATATGAATAATAACCAGGGCCCGGATTTTGATGACCTGAAAATATTTAAAAAATGACCTAAAATATGACCCAAAAATGTAATATGCAGGGCCTGGCTTTTGATGACCTGAAAATATTAAAAAAATGACCGAAAAAATCCAGAAAAATTACCTAAAATATGACCCAAAAATGTAATATGCAGGGCCCGGATTTTGATGACCTGAAAATATTCAAAAAATGACCAAAAAAATCCAGAAAAGTGACCTAAAGGAGAAAAGAAAGAAGCTTCCACATTATTCACATTTCAGAAAACATAGGAAGAAAAATTCCCTAAAATGGCCAAAAATGACAAGAAATACCCTTAAAAGTCCAAAAATTTACCAAAAAAGTACCCCAAAAATGAAAAATAACCTTAAACCTAAAAATGTCAAAAAATCACCTATAAAATTTACATTTCTGTAACCAGCAGCACATATCCAAGATTTGTATATTTAAGAGCATCACATAGGATACAAGGAAATAAAGATGACATTTCATCAAAATCTGGGCCCTGATAATCACCATGTGAGAACCTCAGAACGTATAAAAAAGTAACTGTTGTGTATGTGATACAACTGTCGCTTATTTTTCTTTTTCTTTTTTTTTTCTCACAGGATATTTGGTTTTGATACATTTTATAATGAGCTGAGACTTGTTGGTAAACATTCCTTTCATAACCGTTGCATCTTAAAAGTGTCTCTTATACAGACAGAAAGCTTCAGGCATGTAGCTGTTACAATGGCCACTGATGGGATAGTGGCTCTATGGGACTTAAGTCCTTGTGTTGAAGAGCTTCTGTGTTCAAAACATTCCGACATCAGTTGTGCAGCCTCAGGAAGCAAAAATGATAACATACGAGTAGTTTTGGACAACCTTAAACCATTCTCATGTGTTAAAGTACATCAATCAGGAATCAATAGCTTTGACTGGCTATTGCTAAAAGGAGACAAATTTTTGCTTGCAACTGGAGGTGATGATAGAGCCTTGGTTCTAAGTTTAATTCAAATAAAGTCACCAACATGTCAAGAAAACATGCAAGCTGAAGTTTTGCTGCAGTGGAGAGATGACTGTGCCCATGCTTCACAAATAACTGGTGAGTGACGCTACGACTTAGCTGTAGACTTCCCAGAGTACAGCTGTCTATAACTCTGCCCAGATTTATTACACTCTTCTATTCACCATCTAAGCACTTCCAGTTAAGTCACCTTAAATATATGAGAAATAGATTTTTTTGTTGAGTTCTGGGATATATTGTCATGTAATCTGTTGAAAATCAACTGACGTTTAGGAGGAATATGTTGCCTCCATCTTCAAGGTCGAAGATTAAGCCAAGCAAGAAACAGTATGACGCAGGTTGCAAGCATATCTCTGCTTGACTTTCAATCAGCTGCACAGCATTATGTTGCGAGAACCTGTAGTCCTACACATTTTTAGTTGAGTGTTCATCAACTACCCTTATAATATGCTCAGCCCGTTTGATATGGTTATTTTTACTGTAATTGTGTTGACAGTACATAAGCTTGTAAAAGTTAAATATACATCTTCATTAAGTTGTCTATGACATGACCACTGTCCTCCTTCCTTGGTCCTTATACTCAGCTCTTACATTTGCTGACAGAACATAAGTAGAATACATAATTAATTTTGTTACATTAGTATCATTGTAAATTGTATATCAATAAGGAATCAGATTTATTTCTCAGAAGAAGGTATATTATTTGAGTAATAGGGCTGCCATGCTAACTGGGGTTTTCTTCATTAACGTTCTCAGTGCAGTGCCAACTATATGTACCACCCGTTGTAATACATAGAAACTCTGCATTTTACCCCAGAGTATATCTATGTGTTTTGTATAATTCTCACAGTAAGCAGTTATTTTGCTATACCACATTAATCAGTTGGTCTTCTTTAATGGGGAGGCAGTAAATTTTATTTGAGGTAAGAACTGAATTTTTGAATACCATTTAGGTTAAATTTCTTCTTTATTAAGCTCCATTACTGTTTGCTCTTACCATTCTTGGTGACCAATCTAGAAATTTTCTTCTGCGTGAAATTAAAATTTGTGATGCTTTGTGAATCTCATTTGCGATGTATTACCTTAGTTTTGTGTGCCTTGAACAGGGCTGAAACTAGGAGACAGTGTGGTGGTAAGTACAGCAGTAGATCAACGCATAACGCTATGGAACTGGAGCTCTGATACAGGTGGTCACACTTTGTCTGCCTCTGTTAAGGCGAGGTACTGCAGTACCGTAGCAGACATTCAGGGACTTGTGACATGGAATTCAAGGTATAACTGCATATATTACTTGTCATAACCTCAGAATGTGTGTCATGTCTGTCAACATGAATTTTTGGGAAACTGGGGTTGAAGGTATGAAGCCACATGCACTTCAGATGTGACTTAGAACAAAATGCATTCAGAAATCTCATACTTTGATATAAAGTAAACCTTGGGTGGAAGTATGTGGAGATTATCTTCATTTCAGGCATCCTGTTGTGTTACAATATATAAATTTATTTTTCCGTCACAACACAACAACTAAGGAGTATCAAGGTCAATACCCAGCTATGCCTCACTCCATGTTTCGGCCGTTAACGGCCATCATCAGGTGAATACAAATCAACAAATGTATACTACTGAACTGTAGTAAAATTAGATACAATGACAAAATAGTTCATTCTTTTGTGTAAAAATACAACAGTCATTTATATATAAAACTGAAGGTTATAATATAAAACAAGATTAAAATTGATGTTTTATAACATCTAATCAGTCGTATGTTTACTTTATACGTTCCGTGGACAAAATAAAAATGTAAGATGGTATTGGAGGCGCATGACATTGCAAGTTAATTAATGGAGTAGAGGTGCCTCGTCATATGAAAGAAAATGTCAATACTGTATGAGGAGTAAACAGTGATTGTCCAATACCATACATTTTTATTTTGTCCATGGAACGTATAAAGTAAACATACGACTGATTAGATGTTATAAAACATCAATTTTAATCTTGTTTTATATATAAATGACCGTTGTATTTTTACACAAAAGAATTAACTATTTTGTCATTGTATCTAATTTTACTACAGTTCAGTAGTATACGTTTGTTGATTTGTATTCACCTGATGATGGCCGTTAACGGCCGAAACATGGAGTGAGGCATAGCTGGGTATTGACCTTGATACTCCTTAGTTGTTGTGTTGTGACAGAAGAATAAAATTATACGTGGAGATAATGCAACGTGATTAGGAGAATTAGGAAAGTGCCTTATCTCATTTTCTGCCAGAAGTGGAAATAAAATATTCCAGTACTTATGTGAGATTGTTTACTTATTTTTCATATGTTTGGAGTAAGTTCAAGTAAGCAGTGTGAAAATAAAGGGTTGCTGTTGAAGTTATGGGACTGAGCACCATAGAACCTCAGCTGATGAATAACTTTGTGCACAGATAATGAATGATATCCAGGGAAACACAGCCCACCATTCCATTGAAATATTACTGCACCAGCTGGCCAAAGTGGTAATGCTTCTGACTTGTATTCAGAGGGTGTCTGGTTTGAATCTCGGTCAGGACACCAACTGTGCTGACTGTGGATTTTCATGGCATTTGTCAGTCCCTTTAGTCAAATTCAGCGATAATAAATTACACCATCACTTCTTCATTGCACATCATTTCCAATTTATTTATCAGTATCATCCAGTCAATCACCACTGTATAGACTAGGTTACTGAGAGTGCCATTAATTTAACTACAAATAAAACCCCATTAAATTTACTTACCTTCCTTTACAGAAGAACCTTGTGGATGCCAACGTTCTGCTGAACAATTTTTGCATCTTAAGAAAATAATTCTGAATATGACAAAAGTACCCTGGCATCATGAACTGTATCTTGATTTCATACATAAACACTGGCTTTCTTATGTATTAGATATCTGTATGGAGACTGTTTATTCTTTAAAATTCATTCACTTTTAGTATATTCTCAGAAAGTTCAGTGTGCTAAATACAGCAGTAGTTTTCTGAAGTAATTAATATTTAACTTAGGTAAAATTTACATGTTACATATGTAATGTAAATCTTTATACAGCTTTTTTTCTTTTCAGTTCATGTATCACGGCATGTGTTCACGGGAAAGGAATGGAGATTCTTACAATAGAGTTAAACTAGGGATGTTAATGGATTGTGGCATCGTGTTTAGAATGGAAAGGCGTAAGTGTTCCTACTTGACACTCCTGACAGAAAATGACAGTTCCATGATCAGTTAGTCTTCAACCAAATACATATAATGATGTAACTTGACACAAACTTATGGATTCTGCATTCATCAAGGTTTTACCAAAGGAAGTTTTACATAAGTTTTAAGGTTGACATGACAGTAATTGTTTCAGTCATGGTCTTCTGAATTGTAACACGATGTAGTTTTATACTGAATAGGAACATTTTGGAGGAACATGTTGGCTCCATCTTCAGGGTTGAAGTGTCTCTGGTGAGGATGCAGTCACTTCATTTACATAGGTTGTAATAAAGGTGAGTACTGCAACATATGGGAGAGGTGAGAATACAGAACTTGGTCCAGGCTAGTAGGAACTGTGGTTAGGAAGTGTTAGAAAGAGTCCCTTTTGAGGATGTGAATATTAATTGTCACAAAAGGGACATGTGATTAAGAATGGAACATGATTGCTCCAATCCACAAAAATGCTCCTCGTCACAAATAGAAATGAGGTTCACAATGAAATCAGGACAAAATGAAATTCTAGAAATGGTTGTTACTATAACTAATTCTGTGGAGTAGGGACCTTCATGAGAAGCTGATAGTCACTCAGCTGCATAAGAAATATGTTGGCCTTAATGGTACCTGAAAATTCAGTACAGTGTTCACAGCAGATTGCTACTAGTCCCTGTCCTGAGCCAATCAATCTAGTCCACATGCTTTCAGCCTGTTTTTGTAGATCAGTTTTAATATTATCCTCCCACCTGCACTTATGCATTCTAAGTGATGCCTTCATTTCAGGGTTTCTGACCAATACTGCATATGAATTTCTCATCTCATGCATGCTACATGTCCCACCTGTCAGATCATCCTTGATTTGAACTGACAGAGTACTGTCTGTTGGGATGTGAAACTGTGTACCCTAGCAGAAGTTCTGACATTTGTGAGTGTTCACATGAGTGAACTTCTACCAGGCTACATGATGCTATATCTCAGAAGATAGCATTTTTCATAGTCACTGCTGTGGCAACCTCACATCCAACATCCTAATAATATTTGGTGAAATTTACAAAATTACGAAGCTCCTCATTATGCTGTTTTCATGAGTTCACATTTGAGAAAAAACTGAAAACATGCTTAATAATCTGGATGTCATGTTACAGCAACATAACAAAAAATTGAAAAGGAAAAGAAATTTAACATATCAATTTACAGATATCCAACATATATAATATAATTTTTATATATGTGGACTACAGTATGTGTTGTTTGTAGAGACATTCTGTAAAATGAGACTGAAGCGACATCATTAAGAGCTTCTACATCCCAGTTTTTGTAAATTTCAATGATTGATTAGTAGTAGATGTTCTATGGTATAGTTCACATTACCCAAAAAATTTCTTGTTCAATTTTGAATGATATGTGGACAACATAAAATCTGCTTGTGCCTTAGATATAGTACAAGGTTCACAGTTTGCTTTTATTCAAGTAAAGTAGGGAGTATTCTTGTGTATACACTGTTCTCTGCTTTGAACTATCTTGGAAAGCATGATTTATAGCTTTACTGGCTGACCAGGATACCCTTTGACACCAACACCAGTAACTCTAAAAGTGGCACCAGCTCCTGGGTACTTTTGCAGCTGTTCATCACTCCAAGAAATATTTGCAGTAGTGACATACAGTTCATCGAGCTGTGGTCCTCCAAATGCAACGGATGTCACTTGGAGTGCAGGAATTGGGATATGACTTAACAGCTTTCCATTTGTAGGATCCACTCGAATCACCTAAAATACAAATAAATTATTCCAGGATATTTTTACATACAAGGCATTCTCCTACTTGACTGTTCATACATAAAATATCTAGGTAAATAAGGGTTAAATATATTCACCAAAATATTCATTGAAATGTTCACAGTCATCACAACTACAATTAGGCATATGTAAGACTAACCTTTTCATTTCAAGGATCATAAAAAAATGTAGTTGGTATAGTGACTGGTTTACCAGGAAATTGAACTTAAATTTGAGAAAGAAACTAGTGAAATGCTACATTTGGAGCATGGCTTTGTATGGGGCTGAAACTTGGACACTTAGGGCAGTAGATCAGAAACACCTGGAAAGCTTCGAAATGTGGTGTTGGAGAAGGATGGAGAAGATCAGTTTGACTGATTATGTGAGAAATGAAGAAGTGTTATTTAGAGTCAGTGAGCAGAGGAATATCCTACACGAAATAAGAAAACAGAAGGCTAATTGGATTGGTCATATCTTACGCAGTAACTGCCTTCTAAAAGAAGTTATTGAAGGAAAGATAGAGGGGCAGATAGAAGTGACCAGAAGACGAGGAAGAAGACATAAGAAGATGCCAGATGGCCTTGGGGACAGAAGAGGATATTTTCATCTGAAGGAGAAAGCTCTGGATCGCATCAAGTGGAGGAACTGTTTTGGAAGAGACTTTGGACCTGTCGTCTTGACAGATTACAGATGAATGAATGAATAGTGACTGGCCATGGGCTAGATGACCGAGGGAAGGAGTTCAAGTCCTGGTAGGGTCAAGAATTTTCACTTCTCCTATTGTCAAGACCAGCTCTGGGGTCCACCCAACCTCCTATACAGTGCATACTGGGAGCTGTTTCCCAGGAGTAAAGCGGCTGGGTCGTGAAGCTGACCACTCACCTGCAACAACTAGTGCCACAGTCAAGAAAAATGTGGATCTATACATCCACTCCCCCATACATCTTCTTGGCATAGTGCTTAATTAGTTAAGCACAAGGACAACTATACTTTTACCTTACCCCTATAACAGGCCATGGAGGCCCATAGGGTGGTGAGATGTTGAGGCTCCCAAATTTTTCTAGACAACCAGCTTATGCCTAAAATTTTCTCTACCACAAAAATGTTCACTGTAATCGCAATATGTAACACTAGCCGAGGAGAATATTTGGATCGAAGAGAAATGAAGTGACAGGAGTTTTGAGAAAACTGCATAATGAGGAGCTTCAAGTTTCTACTCTTCTCCAAGTATAATTAGAATGATTAAGTCAAGGTGAATGATGTGGGCAGGGCATGTAGCACGAACGGGGGAGGAGAGGAATGTGTATAGGATATTTGTGGGAAAGCCAGAAGGAAAGAGACAACCTGGAAGACCAAGGCATAGGTTCATGACAGCAGAACACAAACATTCAATACCACTGATATGCCCTTCATTGGATATGATCTGGAGACAGTTCTGTCCATTAAATCATGAAGTTTCCGGTTATAATATCCTAAGTTATACACTTCACCTTTCTTCCGTCCAAGTATTTTCATAAGCACTTTGTTTTTAAACAGTTGTTTTGTATGTCTTGACCTCCAGCATTTCTTAAAGTACATGAGATGATAACAGTTTTTTAACTGAATAATAATGAGGATTTCCACAATTTATCGCCTTCTTAAGTTCATCATTAACCTGAGTTCTGTTTATCAGTATTGTTCCCATAGCATCGTCATGAAAATCATATATAATTATACCATCACTTTGTTGTTGATTTATGGTTGTAGCATCATCACGCCTTTAGTTTTATTTATATATTAATGAGTATTTTATACCAATTTCTTTGCCCACTTGTGAGGAAATTTCAGTATTTTCCTTCACAACATTTATGTTCCCCCCCCCAAACACATAAAAACATTAGCAGAAACGAGGCCATTTAATCCTGGCAAGTTCCTGATTCTTTTGAATTAGCCTAATGGCATGTTTTAGACCGAATTAAAAAGCAGTTGGGTTAAAGCATCCCCCTGTTCTTTCCCACAATGAAGTGTAAAGTATGAGATAAATATTTACTTATACAAATCTGCTAGACATTTTGTGCATACAAATTGTAATTAGCTAACAAGTTTTCTGGGTAATATACAGTGAATTTGGGGGTCAAAAATTTTCCAGATGTGAATTATTTGTTAGTATATTTTGTCTTTGTGTTCATGGTGGTAGTGCAGTCTCTACTGAAATTAGCATAATTACTGTGAATGTATAAATTGCGTGTATAGCGTTTAATTTACCTTACTCCCTCCAAAACAGGCAACCCACAGTTTTCCTTCAGTATCAATAGCCATACCATCAGGAATTCCTTCAAGACCATTTAGCTCAAAATCAAAAGCTGTACGTCTGTTGGCTGAAATGAAAATGATGAGTTTATTAATACAGTGGCTGGTTCTATTTATGACTCTTTATCATAAACACAAGTTCAGTCTACTAGATATTTAGGAAACACTACTTGAGTGTATGTTGGAGCTGTTAACCATTAAAACAGAATTGTTAATATGTGCATCACCTGATTTGTTATTTAAAAACACCGCATTTTACCCACAGTGCATTTATGTGTTTTGTATGATTCCCAGAATAAAACAGTGACATTTCCCAAATATATTTAGTTTATTGGTCTTGTTAATGAAGATGGAGTGTTTTGTATGAGATATGAACTGTATCCCACTTTTGCATTGACCTTCATAAAATTAAGTTTGTTGGTAAAAGAGCTCCATATATTCTTAACAGTGACAGTAGAGGGAGAGGGCATACTCGTTCTAGACATGGAGCTAAAATATATATTTTCATACAAAGTATTAAAGCATGTGTACTCACAGATTTTGGAATTTTCGGCATCGAAGTCAAAAGCATCAACCTTTTTCGTCACAGAATCGATATAATACATCGTTGTCAAATCTTCACTCCAAGCCAGGCCATTGGAAACTGTAATCTTGGATAGGTGTTTTGTTGGTTTCCAGTCCTTGGAGAAACTGTAAAATGATCCTACCTCTGGGGCAAAGAAACCTGTAGATTTGTGATATGGGCCCATTGTTCCTGTGAACAAACAGAATGATTATATACGTAGGTTTCGAGTGTTTTATGGCAATACTTGTTCTCACTTTGGTGGTGTGGGTTGTGAACTATGTAGTCTAGTAGGTAAGTACTGTCTTCTTCTCCAGGGTCAAAGAGTGCAGGATGAAGAATCAGGAATTACAGGCAGCTTGCCTGGCCTAGGTCAGTAGGAACAATGAGCGGGAAAAATGCCTGTTTCAGAAAGTTTCCCCCAAAACATTTGCAACTACATGACGGGACTACTTTCAGGACATTATCACCTAAAGGGACATCTTTTTAAATGGGATTAATTTGTCAAAGGTTGTAAACGTTGAAATATACAACGATTTTTAGTTATTCACATGTTCTATTTCATTTACATTTTGAATGTGGTAAGTTAAAAATAGTTTTTAATAGAAAAATAGCCAGCCCATCAGGTCAAATCCAAGAAAGGACATAATAGTGAAGGTGCTGACAGTAATAGAAGACAATTTGAAGATTTCTTTTGTATCATTAATTCTATTAGTGAAGACACATAATTGCTTGCTTCTATAAAATTTCTTGAAACCAAATGTTTGTACTAAGTGAGATGAATCCATTTTCATTCTTCCATCTGTATTGTGATCTTCTAAATATGCTTCCCTTGCAATGTTTTCCTTTCAAAATTGTATTTAAATTTTCTTCATGTCAGCCCATTATAGTCATCAATGGAACAGGTGTGATCTCAAAGACACACTCCTAAAATCAGTTTCTACAGTACAAATAAATGTATGATATGGATTTTTCAATAATTCCTGTATTCTTCCACATGTTCTTTTTTTCCTGTTCCATGACCCTTCTGACTGCAGCACAGAGTGAAAAAAACTTTGCAGTAGTTTTTGTGGTTTGTTAAATCATTATAAAATTAGAGTCTTCATCTTGTACCAAGCATTTAATTTAGTTTCAAATGCTAGTGTTTGGGAATATCTGCCATACTTGCCTCAGTGGCCACCAAATTCACTTTTGCATGTTCCCACTGTTAAAACGTCTTGCATTCTGATTTTCAGTCAGTTGAATACATTCAGTAAAATGTGATTATTGTTTTAAACTAATCTTGTTTGGCAGCACCATAGCTCATGTGGTTAGTCGCTGGCTTCCCACCGCGGCGACCCAGGTTCGATCCCGGGTCTGGTAAAGTGGGATTTGTGGTAGACAAAGTGGCACTGGGGTGGGTTTTCTCCGAGTACTTCGGTTTCCCCTGCCAATCTTCATTCCACTAAATTCTCCATCCTCATAATTACCCGGGGCAGGCTACAATAGGCCAATAAGTGGCCGCCATGCCGAGTGGGCCCAGTTGGACCACTAAGCGAAACTAATGTTATTTACTTCTTATGCAAATAGTTATACAAAGAAATAGGTTAAGATGGAATTGAATTGATTCATCCTACTTACAGGGGTCCAGTGTGAGCTTATCTTCTTGCGTTCATGAACTTTAGACTTTCTAATACCAGCAAATTACTTGCAGATACAGTGAAACCCTTGTCTAAGGTTTCTCTGGGGTGCAGTGGATATGAACACTTAAGCAGAGGAAAATCTTAAATGGAAGAAATTTAAGGCTGAGTTTATTGACTTGTAATCATTTAAATTGAATGTTAAATGAGGAAAAACCTTAAATCTAAGGAATTAAATGAGGATTCCACTGTACTTTGAGAGTTACATTCAACAAAATAAATGTTCATGATTCTGAAATTGTAAAAGATTCTCCATTGTGGTAATTCATTTGTCTGCTAATGTAATGATCTCGCTTATGTATTCCTCCTCGAAAGGTTTCACATATTATGTTAGCCACTTAAACAATTAAAATGTCTTCGTCTGGATAACGTACTACTTGTGAGTAAATACATTACCTGACCAGAGTCGACCAGTAGGATCTGCTTTTCCATCATTTAGCCTGTTATTCTGAAGTTCTTTCTCATTGTCAACAGCACAAACATATTTCAATTCAGTAGGAGTGCTACTTTCACCATCCCATGTTAGGATTGCAACATTCTTCCCCACAGAAATTACAAATTTGTCTTTTGTACCTTCAAGTGGAATAATAAATGAGACTTGGGTGCCATCTGTAAGTTCGGTAAAATACATACATTCATATGCATACATATGCATACATTCATAACAGGAATTTAATTACAAAATTGGAAACAAAAATGCATATAAGATAGTCGCGGGTTCAAGTCCCAATGAGGTCATTGGATTTTTTTCAGTTGACCTAATCCTTCCAGCTGCACTAGGCCCTGGAGTTTACTCAGCCTCTAACAGAAATGAGTACCAGGAATTAATTAAATAATTTTCCTGGGGAGTAAAGCATGGCCAGTGCATAAGGCTGACAACCTTCCCGCTATCTTTGAGCTGATTGTCTAGATAGTGTGGGACCCTCAATGTCCCACAACCCTATGGCCCTTAACGGCCTGGTACAGGGATAGCTTTACTTTTTTTTTTATTGACTATATTTTCCCATTAGGGAACTAAGTACATTAATCAACAAGGTTTTGGTAACATAAAACTAGCTTGCTTGGATTTTGATGAAACTTCTAATCCCAGTGGAGTTTATACTTTATACCATAAGTATTGCAAACGTGATGGGTGTATGAACTTGTAAGGTCAGTACAATTGCACTATTACATACTTAACATAGGGCTAAATAATTGTGTATGGTAAAAATGTGCAACCTCTATTACAAGAGTAATCTCCTTTTTTCAGAAAATGGCAGCCATACGAAATCTATTTGGATTTTGGTTTAATGGCAAGTACCTAGTAGCAATATTATTTGTGAATGAAAGTTTGTGTACTTCAGGATTTTGTGTGAAACTTGTATTGTATGTTAAAAGTTACAGATATGGTTGTGGAACAAATATTGTAAGTTATATCTGCCAAGTTCATGTAGACAAAATATTTTCTGCTAGAATTATACATATAAGTTGCATGAGTATTTGGTTATAATGCCTTCTACCTCCTGTATATAAATACAAGCATTTACAGGATTGTAGGTATAAAAATTCCAGAAGATCTGTTTAATTATGTCTTTGTCTTGGACAACTGAATAGTTGATCATTTGTGTTTGTTCACTAATACTTCTTTATTCTGAAATTGTTAGTACATACCAATTTTTAGTGTTGTGTGTTTATTTGTGGCAGGAACATACTTATGGATGTTAGCATCTTCAATATTAACATAATATAGTGCTTGAGCATTTTGGTCCCAGTGAGGTCCTTCACCAAGCGTCACAGATGCAGAAATTTGTTCCACTTTAGGTGCAGACATCTTTCTGGGTGGTAAAAAGAATGCATAAATAATTTTCTTTTTACAATTTAAGTGCTAATGGACACTGTTTACCTGGGCTTATCTGTCATCCTAGCTTGTAATACAAAAACCACAAAGTTATGGAAATGAGTTCTTTTTCTGTCTTCAGATTGAGAAGATACGAAAATATTCCTACTCCTGGGCCTCTAGGTAGAGATGCAAGTCTCCACTTGAGTCACCCCATAGTGACTGTATTAAAATAAAGATGAAGATAGGTAGTGCAGTAAACTCTTTAATTATCTGTGGTAATGAAGGGGAGAAGTAGTGCTGCTAATTAGCAGCTTTAAAGAGATATCTTTTGGAGAAATCCTATTACTCACTACGGGAGTTATTTGATGGGTGAATGGGGTGATTTTCACCCCTTTGCATATTGAAGTCCTGTATAGAAGGCATACTAGGAAGTGGGATGTCTTATTACATTTTGTTGTATGCATTGTGGGCTGATTGGTGGGGCTGGTACATGTAGGACGGTTTACAGTACTATTGTTATGCATCATGATTCTGGGAATGTATTGTATAGACCAGTGGTTGGTATAACCAATTTGTTGGATGTGAAGTGTGGTCATAGGTTGTTTCTTTGGTATACTGTAGCTTTTAAGTGATGGTTGTGACACTTTCCTCAGGGTAATTAGTTTTTTGTTTTTTTTTTATACTTCATGTTAAAGTCATTGTTGAATACATATGTTACTGGTACTTTTAATTTATGGTTTTATCTTATTGTATTTAAATGAAATTTTAATAATGTGTGTACTGTATCATATATCGTTCTTATCGGGTATTTTGACTCTGTTCCAATGATTGGGAACTTAGACTAGTATTTACTTTGTGACACGTTCTATATCCAACAGTTTGTACTTTCAACTCATGTATGGATCAACTGAACTTGAAATAAATATGAATATGAATATGAATTAAAAACACTTTATAATACAAAGTGTTACCCACTATTCACACTGCATCCAACCCTGTAAATTACTTAATCATCCACATACATCAGTAAACAGTGAGATACACATCTTTCCAATAGAAAAAAAGCAACCATTGTTCAGTGGTAGTAGACTAGCCAGAGAAGCAATAAACTAATGGAATAGAAAGTTATGACAGGATGAGAAGATGTGCAGTCTACTGCATAAACAATCACTGATACAAATTACTGAAACAGGCGTAATTGGCAACATTTATGTCATTATGGGAAGCTATTAATAGATAACTGAGGGGTTCTAAAATTCCCCACTGTTTATCCACATGCAGAAAATAAAGATTCAACTGTATTTTAATTACCAATGTTCCACTGTAATGAAATGTCTAGATTTCCCAGTATATTCTGCATTACCATTGCTAGATAAAACCAGTAGAGTCTAAAATGCTGAAAAGATTATCTTTACAGCACCATTGAACAAGAGAGTTAGAATTCTTTTTCCTGTGAGTATGGCCATTCTTGCCACATACACACTGAATCATTACAAATATTTTTCTTAACAAATGGAAAAGTAAAAGTAATTTTGTTTTATTGAATGAGTTAGACATAGTAAGCACAAAATATGTCTCTGCTGAAAGAGTACCTTTTGCCTCATAGTTGTTTAATTGTGTACTATTTAAAATTATGCTGTTGAATTTTGTATTTGTTTTGAATGACAACACAGGACTAACATTTAAAATAATGAGGTTCAATTTTTATACTCATTTTACTAATTTTAGACCAAATGTCGTTTATTCCTTTACCAGGCATGCATAAATATAAAGCCTATATACAGTACTGTACTGAAACCGTTACATATTATTCATAATGTTTGTTTAATTACCCTTAATTTTCTGTGCACTTGATGACTTGCACAATATATAGACTTTAAGTTTTGTGATTATGTAAGACCTTTAAATTGTTGTCTCTAGCGATATCTGATCTTATCAGTCAATTCATAATCCTATTACTTCATATATGATATATGTGTTGATTGACTTTATTTTTTGTGACAGTGAGTTAAAATAGACTAGTTCTTATCACTGCCAGTCACGGTAGCCGAGCAGTCTAAGGCATGGACTGTCTTCGCTCGCTCGGAAACCGAGATCGTGGGTTCGAATCCCACTCGGCATGGATGTTTGTGTGCGTTTTTCTGTGTTTGTCTACAGGTAGAGGCCTTGTGACGAGCTGATCACTCGCCCAAGGAGTCCTACGGTATGTGTAAGATCTAGTAAACCAAAGTGAAACGGAGAGTTTCATGGAGGTAGGCCTAGGCCCAAATTGGGGCTGTAGCGCCACAGGAAAAAAAAAGTTCTTATCACTACTGGAAGAAACACATAGTATTTTATCACCATCAGAGTAAAGATCACGGAGGTACTGCAGGATATCAGATCATGTGTCCTCGTGTGTGATTACACTTCTTCAGCTCTCCAGTACTTGGATGAACACAGAGTGAGGTTATCCTGGTTTAGTTTGTTGTTATAAATGAATTTTGTATAGGATAGTTCCATTCAGCACTCTTCTCTAAAAACAAGTTTGCAGGTACTTGTACGCTTGATTTAAAGCTCAAGGTCTGGGCTTATTCCCCCCCCCCCAAAAAAAAACACTGTTCTGCTGAATTGAAACTTAGCACAATAGTTGACAGCTTTTGAACAACCAAGATTTATCGTATTTTTGTCAAATAACGAATGACTGGAATTTTATAACATCCCTACTATCAGTATTGACATTTATAAAAAGTTTCTTAATAAAATATGAATACTGTCTTCTAGAATGTGACATCATATAGTCTGGTAGGGCACTGACGTTTCAAATGAATTTACTGCTTCAATCTTCAGGATCAAAGAGTAAAGCAAGTAAGTAACCAGCAAGAAACGGTTATCATACAAAGGAGCTCTGCCTGCTCCTTTCTTCATATTGGTTACTTGCTTGGCTTATTCTTTGATCCTGAAGATGGAGGCAGTACATTCATTTGAAATGTTCATGAACTTCTACTGAAATACATGGCTTCACATCCCAGAAGATGGTACTCTTCATAGTCATATCTGTGAGAACCCTCAAGTCTAAAGTAAGACATATGAGTTGTTACACGATTTCTGACTTATGTCAACCAAATTGCCACGAACATGTAAAGTTTTGATCTCTATAGCATTCACCAACCTGTTTTCAAGAACCCCCCCCAAAAAAAGTACACAATTTTACTCAGTTTATACATATCTGACAAATCTTTATCAAGGTTCATTCAACATACTGCTGTTCATCATTCTCTGATATCATGAACGTTCAAAATACACATTTCAGTTTGTTTCTACAGGCTTCATGTAACACTTCGGTTCCTCAAGAATAAATATGCATTTTAAAACAAAAATTCTACAGATCTTTCTGAGCATAATAGTAGTGTAGCAATATTGCTGTCTAATCCCATTCTGATTCTGCCCAGACTGAGAATTTTCATAATTTATTTATTTTATTATCATTCATCAATCCATTCAGGTACATAACCATTAAATATAGAAATTATCAGTAGATTACATAAGATAAATAACAATTAAAATATATATAAGAAACTAGTGAATGCAAACTAAAAGACAAAGCTATAATTACTGGGATATCCCAAGATCAAGTTTATTATTCCTATCAAGATACTATTCAACAAAATAAGAAGATTTTTACTTTCTCAATTTATGTATAAATTTGTTAATGTGATGTGCAACTTGTTCTTTAACTTCTCCAATCAAATTCTAGGATAATTCCATGCAGTAGCCATAAACATCTTAACATTAGCAATTGAAACAAGATGATTATATGCGGCAAGAATCACTCATAATGTAACTTGAATTAAAGGATTAGTACACTATCTTTATGTATATCGTACATATCTCCAAAATAGCAATTTGTTCATTATCAAGCAAACCATAAGTCTGGGCAAATCTTGTTTCATAAGAGGAGGATATGCTTATACCTACTCTCCAGACATCATAGCTTGTATGGTGAGGCATAACCTCCTATAAAGATGAACTGTTTTTATATATTTCATGTTTAGTAGGATATGTAATGGTAACCAAATGTAATGTTATATTTTGGCGTGCTTAGTGAAAATAACTGTTACTCATCACTTACCAGAAGCAGTAAAGTGAATGTACTCAGCTGTAGAGTTGGCAGGCTAGTGCTATGGCAGTTGGAGTTGATTTTTACATATAGTATATATATTCGTTGTGTAACTTTCTCCTTTCTCTTCTCATCAGCTTAACAGCTGTCAAGGTCACTATACCAGTTCAGCACATGTGACTAATGGTTATGACAGGGGTGACCAAATTACACGTAGAATATCAACTGCATGTTACAGTTGGTGCAGTTTTGTCTGATAATTGGGAATTGTCTTTACTCCGAAGACTGTCATAGAAAATACCATATATAACATGTGATGTGGATGTTGCTTGACATTACAGGAAAAGAGAAAACCTATTTGTTTGCCAAGACTAAATAACACAGCATGTGTTCAAAAATTGTAGAGTTAAATGAAGGATACTGCACAAGAGCCTACATATGCAGTATCAGAAGAATAAATGTGGATAGAAAGTGCTGAAGAGTTCCATTGATGTGCCAGTGGTGAGAAGAATTCTATTCTTTCTCAGTTATCCAAATTTCCTTTTAACAATATTTTTTGGTGGGGTGGGGAAAGTTAAGAGCAATGTAATATATGCATTTGCCTGGAGGGACAGAGGAAAACCATGAAAACCCTCAGGATTATCCATGTTTTGGCTGAGATTTAAACCAGGAGTCCTAATCCCAATAGAGATTACACTTTCATGACCAGCAAATTATCCAAGACTGCATTTGAAAAAAAATGTAAAACTCTCTATACCTTCCAAATTAGAGTACACATTTTCACTTTTTTTTTTTTTTTTCCACATAATGATAGCTAGTAATTCAGTAGTTCACTAAAATACTCACATTCTGTGTAAGATTAATTTCAAGTTTGTCCCATTAAATCTTCAGCAGTTTCCATTTACCATTTGTTATTACTACTTCTGCATATGCAGCTGTCAGTGGTGATATGAGCAATATAATTTCAGGTATTTGTATTGTGCAGCCCTGGGAAGATTACATTTTGTTGTGATGAGAAGAAACTTATCATGTTACACTATCATATTGCTCATTTGCAGACTGTGCTGTATATATCTGATTAGAATGCTAATATTAATACTGTATTATAATCTTATTAATTTTGCCAGCAAATCTCTTATTGTACAGATATTATGTACGTAGGTAAGTCAATAAGTAAGTTACAAATGGATATAGAACTTAAAGAAATAAGAGTACTGATTTGAAAAATGGTTTATTTCTCAACATAATCTCTCTTTACATTGAGGCACTTGTCCCATCATTTCACAAGCCCCTGAAAACCAGTAGCATAAAATTCTTTGGGCTGCTGTCGGAACCAGTCGGTGACTTCCCTTTACAGGGAACATTTACATATTGAGGATGTTATAGTAGGAGTCAGCATTTACATAAATGCTGACTCCTACTTTAACATCCTCAGGAAACTTTGTAAGGCCATTCAACAGAAGTGACCAGGACTCCTCACCAAAGGCGTGTTCCTCTTGCCTGACAACATGCGTTCCCATACTGCCAACAAGACAAATGAGACGCTGTGAAATTTCAAGTGGGAAGTCCTCAAGCATCCTCTGCATAGCCCCGACCTTGCTCCAAGTGACTTCCATTTGTTTACCCCTCTTAAACATCATGTTTCGGCTGAACATTTTCCTGGCGATGAAGCTGTAGAAAGGGAAGTCACCGCCTGGTTCCGACAGCAGCCCAAAGAATTTTATGTTGCTGGTTTTCAGGTGCTTGTGAAACGATGGGGCAAGTGCCTCAATGTACAGGGAGATTATGTTGAGAAATAAAAGCATTTTTCATATCAGTACTCTTATTTGTTTAAGTTCTATATTCATTTGTAACTTATTTATTGACTTATCCTTGTATTTGTACTTGACTTGTTCCACATACTGTGGTGTCAACCTGTACTTGGATTTACAGCATTAATTAAATTCAAATTCCTCAGCTTGAGTATGTTAATGGTCCAGTCATCTGCTAATGAAGATAATGCATTTTTATTAAGTATTATTTTTATATAACACATGTGCTGATTGCAATGAGTTATCTCTCTGAATTAAATTATGTAATTCTACAATACCAAGAACTGAGTAGATCGTTTCAGAGGAAGGCTGTCTGACGTGTCTGTTTACTAGTGTGAAGATTATATTGCTTTTATAGATTATGTGTACTTATACATAGCATCTGTGAATGCAGTTCTCCTCAGTTGTTATTTATGTTAGAGACATGATTACTGCTTGTCGTGGTCCTAAACCTTAGCAAAGCCATTACTTGACTGATTGAATGTTAAGAAGCAGTGCTCTGGCAGCAAAATGTGATGGTTGAAATTCACAGTCATGGAGATGTTGGTTGGACATGATGTGTAGCCAGTGGAATCCACCTGTGATCGAAATATGCACTTATTGATACTTCCTGTTTTGATGTTATTCTGCCATGAGGTGTTTCATCTTGCAAGGATCCACTTTCCAGGAGGATTCCCCACAGAAAATTTGGTATGAATGTCCTGTGCCCTGTAAAGCTTCCTGCATGTGAGGCTACTGACGTGGCAGAAATTCTGGGTGATATATTTATAGTTAGGTCAGTGTCCTGAATTGCTGAGATGTGATCCTTCTTAGGTTTAAATATCTTCCTGATAATTTTGTTTGACTTGTGATGCGTATTTTTTTATTTCAAGTGGGAAGGATGAGGTGGGCAGGTCATGTAGCACGAATGGGAGAGACAAGGAATGCATATAGGATATTGGTGGGAAATCCAGAAGGAAAGAGACTACAGGGAAGACCAAGGCGTAGGTGGATGGACAATATTAGAATGGATCTTAGAGAGATAGGATGGGATGGTATGGATTGGATAGATCTGGCTCAGGATAGGGACCAGTGGGGGGCTCTTGTGAACATGGTAATGAACCTTCAGGTTCCATAAAATGATGGGAAATTCTTGAGTATCTGCAGAATTGGTGGCTCCTCCAGAAGGGCTCAGCTCCATGAGTAAGTAAGTAAGTGGGGTGGGACTAAGTCCCTTGTACTGCGGCCACTTCTGGCCTATTCTACCAGCCCAAGCTGATAGGTGAGTGTGATTGTGAAGCAGTTGGTGGAACGAAGATTGGCAGGGGAAACCAAAGTACTCGGAGAAAACCTGCCCCAGCTCCACTTTGTCCACCACAAATCTCACTTGACCAGACCTGGGATCCAACCCAGGAAGCCAGCGACTAACTGCTTGAGCTATGGCGTGGCCCTTGTGATGAGTAGGTAATAAATATGTGACACCAAGGAGATTGATGTATTGATGAATGAGAAATATTAATATCTGTCAACCAAGTGAGAATGGTTTCTGTTATAGAGAATGGTGGTTTCATACTGTTAGCTTTGGGTCTTTGAGTTGCATTGCACATAATTCTTTTAATTGTAATGGCTCTAAGGACCCTATTAGAGAAGTTGAAGTAGTAGGTGCCTAGTATCCAGCACTGTGATGCTTGAATCACAGCATTCCATGTAACATTAAGGTTGTGGCCTCACATACATTCTTGCCCAAATATCATGACATTTTCTAGTATAAATCAGGCACATCTTCTAACACTTCTTTAAATAAAATGGTACTAAAGTAATAATATTACAAAGGTTTTTATGTGTCCCACATATTACAGATTTTCATTACCAATTTAAATGATTCTTTGTCTTCTCATCTGTTTTCTAGAAACCTAAAAATTTGAGAATGGCATGTAGCACGAATGGGAGAGAAGAGGAATGCATATAGGATATTGATGGGAAAGCCAGAAGGAAAGAGACCACTGGGAAGACCAAGACATAGGTGGGTGGACAATGTTAAAACGGTTTTTAGAGAGATAGGATGGGATGGTATGGACTGAATCAATCTGGCTCAGGATAGGGACCAGTAGAGGGCTCTTGTGAACACAGTTATGAACCTTCAGGTTCCGTAAAATGCTGAGAAGTTCTTGAGTAGCTGCACAATTGGCACCTTCTGAAGAATGGCTCAGCTCCATGAGTGAGTGAGTGATTTAACTACATATTTTATATATCCATATAACTTTATTCTCAGAAATTCTCATTTGATTTGTCATTTATAAATCACGCAGTGAACATATAAGAATTACCTCCATGTAAAAGTGGTGATTGTTCCAATACACTATAAGGTCACTGATATTAGGAAGACACTCTTTGCCGTTTAATAATAGCCATAATTTCCTGTTTGCAATCAGCTATATACATTGTGTGGTCTATGTGCCACAGTAATTGATAGTGTTAGAAGTCCTAGACCAGTAAAAGTAAAGCTATCCCTGTAACAGGCCATGAAGGCTCATAGGGTTGTGAGACGTTGAGAGTCCCACATTATCTAGACAATCGGCTCAAAGATGGCTGTGGTTGTCAGCCTTATGCACTGGCCGTGCTTTACTCCCCAGGAAAATTATTTATTTAATTCCTGGTACTCATTTCTGTTAGAGGCTGAGTGAACCCCAGGGCCTAGTGCGGCCAGAAGGATTAGGTCAATTGAAAAAAATCCAATGACCTCATCAACCTTCTGACTTTAGCATAGTGCCTTAACCACTACACTACCGAGTGCCCCCCAGACCAGAGGAGTGGGTTCAATAAATGTTAAAAACAGCCCTTTTACACGTGTTCCTGTGAATAGAGAGAAGGAGTTTGGTTTCTGCTTGTATCACCAGTGTTCCGATTGCATTTCCACAAAACCCAAATTCTAGACTAACATTTGCCACTGCTAAGTAATTGGTCACAGAGTAGCTCACAGTTTGTCAGTCAAGCTCTGTAATAAAATGTTAATGAATATTATGAATGTTATATTTTAGCGTCCTGTTGCACTGATTTATGTCCATGATTTATTCTGACCATCTTTCAGTGCATACATTTATTCACCTTACTCTTCTCTCTTGCACCACATGTTTCGGCACTTTAGTGCCGAAACATGTGGTGCAAGAGAGAAGAGTAAGATGAATAAATGTATGCACTGTAAGACGGTCAGAATAAATCATGAATATTATGAATTTTAGCTGCTGTCACCATTGTAAACAGTAAAGGAAATAAATTTTATACAAAAGTAGAAGTCAGTCTATAATAAAGTTCAGAATGTAAAAATTGGATGCATCTCATGCGGAACTGAAACCTGAGTATCCAAATTTGTAACTTTATAAGATTATTGCATTGTGTACCAAAAAATTAAATACTAAGGGCAAGATGATGATGTGTCCACTGTTATTATATTGGAAAACAAGATTTACTGCTTGACCGGTTGCCCAGGGTATCCTTTGACACCAAGACCTGTTACTCGGAAAGTGACACCTGATGATGGGTATTGTTTCTTCTGTTCTTCACTCAAAAGAATATTTGCGCTAGTGACATAAAGTTCATCAAGCTGTGGTCCTCCAAATGCTACGGATGTCACTTGTGGTGTTGGAAAAGAGATATGGCTTAACAGCTTTCCGTTTGCAGGATCCACTCGAATTACCTAAAAGAAATACAAACAGAACTCATCTGAACAAATTAGATCAGGTTGTTTCTACAAGTAAAGGTAAAGCTATCACTGTAACAGGCTGTGGAGACCCTTAAGTTTGTGAGATGTCTAGGCACCCACATTCTTCTAGATAATTGGCTCACAGATGACAGTGAGGTTGTCAGCCTTAGGTGCTGGCCTCCCATTACCCCCAGGAATATTCCTGGCACTCATTTCTGTTAGAGGTTGAGTCGATCCCAGGGCCATAGTGAGGCTGGAAGGATTAGGTCAATTGAAAAATCCAATGACATCAGGAATCGAACCCACAACCTTCCGGTTTATAACATAGTGCCTCAACTCACTACACTACCTCATGCCCAAATAGTGTCCAAAGAATTTCCACAGGAAAATTATCAGTGCAAAAAGGTTTACACAAAAAGAAACATTAACTGAAATGGACATGCAAATGTACTAAAATGTTAAATAATTTTAACCTCTGAATGTCCAACTGCCTTTGTAGAAAAATCAGAGTATTTAGCTCCATAAGCTTAGATGACACTTATACTAACTCAGTGCATATAAATAAATCTTTTCTCAAGTCCATACAAAAGCTATTTTGGAACAATGGCGGTGCTTTGACAGTTCATTGTATACTTCCCTTAATATAGTCATTAAAGAACAATGCATACAAAAAGAAAACAATACTGTTCACCCAAGAATGATCTTTGGAGCATAACAAATTGAAATTCTCATTTAGCTGTCACAGCTGTTGCAAACAGCATTAACCAAATATGAAACCAGAGGAAAATGAGAGAAATGTGCATTTTATAGCACATTTTATGGTAACGTCTAATTAATCAAGTCCCTTAGGACTACGAGTTCTTTGAAGGTTTCCCCCCCCCCACTTTATTAAAGTTACCAGGCACTCCCCTTTTTTAGCATTTACCACTTGCATAATCCATTCCTCTTGCAAGCATCAGAAATCACTTCTGCACTTGACTGGGTTTCGTGGGCTTAACAGTCTCCAAAAAAGAAATGGTGTTTGGCCAGCAAGCACTTTGCTGATAACTCAAAGATGAACACTAAGCAGAAATGTTCTCAATTCATAATAATGTTTTGTATCTTCCAAATATTAATTAATTGGTGTAAACTAGTACCAAAAGAAAAGTAACAACTCTATAACCATCTTTCTAGTACACGTGACAAAAATTATACATACAAAATTTTCAGTATTACAGTATAAACTTTTTTTACATCTTAATACCGTTCAATTTACCTTACTCCCTCCAAAAGTAGCAACCCATAGTTTTCCTTCAGTGTCAATAGTCATTCCATCTGGATGTCCCTCAACACCATTGAGCTCAAAATCAAAAGCTGTCCGTCTGTTGGCTGAAATGAGAGTAATTATTATATGAGTACAGGAGTATGGTTCCATATCTGCCAGCCTCACATGAACACACCTGAATTGAATAATTCTGTTACTGAGGACACAGGTTAAAATTTGGTTGCTTTTTCATTCACTTCTCTTTTCGGTTGATAAAAATATAAGAATATAAATATATATTTTCTCACTTAACTTGAGCCTCTGATTAATATAAAATATTCTCTGTGGATTTCACAATACACATTCACATGACTAATAAATGGAAGAGAGAGGAATTTTGTGTAATAAAAATTAATGATATAGCTATAGACATTGACATTCTTATACAATTTTGTAAAGCATTGATACTTACAGATTTTGCCACTTTCAGCATCAAAGTCAAAAGCGTCGACCTTCTTCGTTAAAGTGTCAATGTAGTACATTTTGTCTTCACTCCAAGCCAAGCCATTGGAAACTCTTATCTTTGTTAATTGTTTTGTTGGTTTCCAATCTTTAGAAAAGCTGAAAAGTGATCCCACCGGGGCAAAGTCATGTAATGAACCCCCACCTCTACCCACTGATCCTGTAGGGAAACAAATGGAGTCCTCTTTCATAAACTAAAGCACGATAGAAGTTAACACATATCAGCTGTATTCCTGAGGTAATTATACAAGACTGAAACATATAAGGGAGGTTCAGTAGGAACCTGGCTAATTGCAGTTACTTGGAAATAATATGAACTGCATGTTACATCTTGCATATGCAGTGAAACCCTAGTTCAAAGTTTCCTTGGAGACCAGTGGATTTGAACACTAAACTGAGGAAAATCTTAAATGGAGGTAATTTAACACCAAAGTTGTAGATTTGGGATTATTGATTATGAATGTTAAATGAGGGATAACCCTAACTATAAGAATATTAAATAGTGGTTCTACTATATTTTGTTCACTGGGTAATAAAGTGCTATATGCCTTTCTTATACATGGGGCAATCAAAAAGTTTCCGAAATTTGAATTTTGAGCATGAATGGTTATGAGTACATCAAAATACCGCTAGATGTCTCCTCACACATCCTTCTTGAATCAGTGTGGCACGCGGCGTCGAGTTGAGTGGTTGGGTTTATTGTTGGTGAACGTATTTCCATTGTTGTGTTTCCATGAGTTTGTGGTTTTGCAATGGCTGACCTGAGAGAGCAGCGTGTGTGTATGAAGTTTTGTTTCAAACTTGGGAGAACCGCTGCAGAAACGAGCCAAATGTTGAAGCAAGCTTTTGGTGAAAACAGTTTAGGCCAGGCACAAACTTACAACTGGTATAAGCGTTTTAAAAATGGCTGAACATTGACTGATGATGACGATCGTTCGGGACAGCTGTCAACGGGCAAAACACCAGAAAATGTCGCGAAAGTTAGGGATCTGATTCTGCAAGATCGTAGACTGACCATCCAAGACCTCTGTAACACCTTGGGACTAAGTTATAGTACATGTCAACGAATTTTGTCAGAGGAACTGAACATGAGGAGGATTGTGGCGAAGTTTGTGCCACGACTGCTGCAAAATGAACAGAAACAGCATCGCTTGGAAGTCTGCAGGGAATTTCAGCAACAGCTTCAAGAGGATCCAAACTTTCTTTCGAAGGTTGTCACTGGTGACGAAAGTTGGGTTTCTGGCTACAACCCTGAAAGCAAGCCGCAATCGTCGCAATGGAAGAGCCCTTTTTCACCTCGGCCTAAAAAAGCTCGACAAGTCAAGAGCAACATTAAGTCCATGTTGATCTGTTTTTTTAATATTGACAGGATTGTTCATAAGGAGTTCATCCCTCCTGGTCAGACAGTCAATAAAGAGTTCTATCGCAATGTTCTAAGGCGTTTGAGGGAGAACATGAGTAGAAAACGTCCAGAGAAGTGGCACATGAACGACTGGCTACTCCACCATGACAACGCATGACCACATACGGCTTACATTGTGCAGGAATTTTTGGCTAAAACAAGATGGCAGTTGTTCCCCACCCACCGTACTCACCAGACTTAGCTCCATGCGACTTCTTTCTCTTCCCCAAGATGAAAATCAAGTTGAAGGGGCGAATATTTGATGCAGTTGAGAAAATTCAAGTGGAAACTCAGATGGTACTAAACACCCTAACAAAGAAAGACTTCCAGGATGCATTTGAAAAGTGGCAGAAACGCTGGGATCGGTGTATGCGCTCCCAAGGGGACTACTTTGAAGGTGATGATGCAGAATAAGATCTAGGTAAGTTGTAATAGTTTTTATTAATTTCGGGAACTTTTGGATTGCACAATGTAGAATGTTATGATGTAGGAGGTAAAACCTGTCATAAACTAAAAAAGGATAGAATTTGACACATATGAGCCATGTAAAGGGTCATACATGACGAAAATTTTTGAAAAGAATCAGCTCTGAAATTTAAATTGAAGACAACATTCAGTGTAGTAGCTTCTGGTAATATTATGCTTAGTGTCTCTTATTTTTCCTCTAAAGTAGGCATGCCAAATTCATAACTGACACACTGAGATAGTAAATGTTTCAGATGGGTCACAGTTTCAATCCACTGAATTTGACTTGGAGAAAAATAGTATCAAGGGGGCACCTATGGCCTGCAGGTTGATAGTTTCATACATCTGCACAAAAAGCATGTCATTTCACTTTTAACCTAATACTAATTTCATTGTGTTTTGTAGAACGTTGAGTGTGATATATGTATAAATGACTACATAATCACTTTTACAAATACCTATTCCAGAAAACACCTCTCTTCTTGCTTCATATTTTACCTGTCCAGAGTCGACCAGTAGGATCCGCCTTTCCATCATTCAGATTATTATCCTGAACTTCTTTCTCATTGTCAACAGAACTAACATATTTCATATCTGTAGGAGTGCTGCTTTCACCATCCCATGTCAGAATTGCAATGTTACGGCCCACAGAAATTACAAACTTGTCTTTGGCTCCATCAAGTGGAATAACAAATGAGACTTGGGCACCATCTGTAAGATTCATGAAAGTAATACACAAGAAGTGAAAGCAACAAAACTTCAATAAATAAAAGTAATATATTTTACTGTTGGCATGTTATTTTTCCATGAATGCCAGGGCAGGCTGAAGGTACAGAACATAACAATAACTTCATTTTGATATCAGTGTTCTGAGTAGGAGCCATGTTCTTCATCAGGACTGGATTATATCACCAGACCTGTCCTAGGTCTTATTTGGTCCAGAAAAATTGTGAGATTTGGTGTTCTCACAGCTATTACCATGGACATACTGTCTTCTGTGAGTGGGTCACCTACACACTTCAGTCACTTTATCCCTAAGGAAAAAAGTCTTGGTGCCTCTTGGGTAGGGGGCTGGAGGGGGGGCAATGAAGAAAGTTCCTGCCATTGTCAGAAATTAAATATTTATAATCCAGAGTGCAGGCAGTCACTTTACTAACTGAGCATCCCTGGCTAGAGTTTTAGTTTTCATCCAGTAAACCACTATGTGATCTTCAGCGAGTAGAGTGTGCTGCTTCTCTGCAGGTAAACTGACTGGAGTTTGTAGTTGATCTTTCACCTATATCTAGTCCCAAGGTTAGGAATAAATGGAATTATACTTCTACACCTCCAGCACCAAACCATAACATGATCTTAAACATTTCTAACTCTTATCATATAATGAATGAAAATGAAAGTCATCAGAAAGATGGAAACTTACATTTCAAAACTGACCAGCATGCTTCCACAACAGGAGGGTAATATGTTTGATTTCTGTTGGGGACAAGAAAGTTTTCTATTCAACATGGTGTCTAGACCTACTGTAGGGTGCACCAAGGCTTCTATCCATTGGGTATTGGGGTTCTTTCCTCGGGGGTAATGCAGCCAGGGTGTTATGTTGATAAGTCACCACCATCTAGTGTTGAGGTTAAAAATGGTGGAACTGTACATCCACTGATCCATAGGTTTTTATGGTGTGATGCTTAATTAAGTACAGAGATAACTTTACCTTTCTTTTCACAAGAGCAAATAGCTCAAATATCAAGCAAATTAGCCCAAGCAATAACCCTTCTGACTTGTATTTGAGAGGTGAAAGATTTTAGTCTTGGCTAGGACACCAACTATCCTGACATATTTTACTCAGTCCTTCCAGGCAAATGCAAGAATAGCAGCCCAAACTGGGGTACTACAGTTTCCTTCCATATAATTTCCAATTCATTATTTACTAATCATCCTACCCTTCAACTCTATGTAGTCAGTCTGAACTACTGACAGTATTTTTAAGTAAACCATAAATAAATAATACAAGCATAAATGAAACTTCAAATAAAGCTCATCATTTAAAACAGGAGTGTATATGTGCATTTCATTACAGAACCACAGAGCTTTCAAATGCATTCTCTGATATTTTTGTATCTCATTTAACTTGATGTACATTCATTAATTGCTTTAGTATACCATTAATGAAGGTAATTATTATCTGTATTATGCTTACTGAGTTGTCATGGTATCCTATTCAGTGCTATTCTCATGTGGAGACTTTATAGCATTAATGTGTCCTCAAACAGATGTACAGTGATGTTAACACAGTTTCCTCCCTAATGCCATGTTTTGAGAAACTTTAGACTTGCATTTGTGTTTACTGACTGATCTCTGTTATGAAATACTCAGTACTTACCAATTTTCACTGCTGTATGTCTGTTGGTGGAAGGAACATACTTATGGATGGTAGCATCTTTGATATCAACATAATACAGTGCCTGAGCATTGTGGTCCCAGTGAGGTCCTTCACCAAGTGTTGTAGGTGCATCAATTTGTTCCACTTTTAGTCCAGACATCTTCTTCCTTGATAAAAAAGACAGTAACTTTAAGTGCTAAATGATTGTAAGTACTTTACCAAACTTCTTCAAGATTACTGGGTTTTTGGACTTGTCCATTGCCTGGTATTCTAAAGAACACAGCATTTCAGAAAGCGGAACTGTTTTCATCCTCAGGTGAGGGGATGGGAGGCATCTACTCTGCTGGGTCTGTTAGAAAGAGCTCACCTCAGTCACTGGACTGCACTTACTGTTTAGGAGAATTTTTATGATGTAGTTAGTTCAGATCAAAACCTGATTCAGGAGGAAATTAAGAGGCGATTGAACTCAGGTAATGCTTGCTACCATTCAGTCCAGAACCTTTTGTCTTCTCGTCTGTTGTCCAAAAACATAAAAATTAGAATATACAAAACTATAAGTTTGCCTGTGGTTCTGTATGGGTGTGAAACTTGGTCTCTGACATAGACTAAGGGTGTTTGAGAACAGGGTATTGAGCAGAATATTTGGACTGAAGAGAGATGAAGTGACAGGAGGTTGGAGAAAACTGCATAATGAGGAGCTTCATAACTTGTACTCTTCTCCAAGTATAATTAGAATGATCAAGTCAAGGAGGATGAGATTGGCAGGTCATGTAGCACAAATGGGGGAGACAAGGAATGCATATAGGATATTGGTGGGTGGACAATATTAGAATGCATCTTAGAGAGATAGGATGGGATGGTATGGATTGGATAGATCTGGCTCAGGATAGGGACCAATGGAGGGCTCTTGTGAACATGAGTAAGTAAGTAAGTAGTTAGTTATAAAAGATAAAGTTGTCCCTATGCTTAATCAATTAAGCACTACACCACAAAGGTGTATGAGGGAGTGAATGTATAGATCCACTTTTTCTCAGCACTAGTTGGAGGTGAGTGGTCAGCTTCATGCCCCTGCCACTTTACTCCCAAGGAAAAGAGCCCTTGATACCAATTAGATAGGAGGCTGGGACCTTCCCGGGACTACTCTATCTTGGCTCAGTGTAGTTAGTTATGCGATTTAAAACTGTGTGCTGAATTTTTAATTTGTTTGAATTGCATAGAAGAAAATGACTTTCAAGTCCTAGTTTACTTTTTCAATTCTCTTCTTCTTCATGTTTAATAAGAAGTAATTATTATTTTATGAGTGGAAGCCATGCCACTTATCTGATTTTAGTAATTGTTAATAGAATGTGGTCTAGTGGTCAGAGTTCTGACTACAGATCCACAGATCCGGGTTCGATTTCATTCTTACAGTTTTGGTAGCACTGAATAATGCTTGGATTGTTCACTTTGGTGCAAACTGGTATGCAATTGAGCATTAGTACAGCTGTATTTGAGAAAATGTTAAAAGTTGTATTCACCATCTTCTGGGCTTGATCTATGAACCTCATGGATGCAAGTCAAGCACATTATGTATTCAACAGTTTACTTATATGCACGAGAAATCAGTGCTTTTTTTTTAGCTGCTGCACTTACTAGAGGTCTTGAATATGAACCTGATAAATGCAAGCTCTGAAAAAAAAAGTCAAGAAAGAAGTTATGTCACCATGACAGTTGAAATTCATGACAGCAGTGATATATTGGACCTGGTCATATCACTGCCAAATTCACATATCTGTATGTTTACAAACAACATTTTTAAATTTATCAAGTATCTTCAGTTTTTTCTATGTTGCAAGGTACAGATTACTCGCCTGACATTGTAACATTAAGTGGAGTTTTATCACTTAAGTGAGAATGATGATTCTGTCATAGCTGACAGATTACATAATGAGAATGATACATGCTTAAGATGTGCGGAAATGCAATGGTTTCATCTGACTCAAGATAGGATTCAGTGGCAGGTTCTTGTGGTCGTAGTAATGTCCTTCAGACTCCATGCAATTTTTGGACTAGATGAGCAGTTACGGGCTTCTCAAAAAGGACTGTGCTCAATTGAATTAGGTTTTTCATAATTCCAATTTCATTGTCTATATTGTTAACAACTTGATATGAAATTTTGTCCAATATCCATCTCTCAAGTTTAATCCCATATATAGACAAAATTATTGGGGATCACCAATGTGGGTTTTGATATAACAGATCAACTACTAATCAGATTTTGCATTCGTCAGATACTGAGGAAAAAATTGGAGTACATGAGACAGTACGTCAGCTATTCATAGATTTAAAGAAATCCTATAATGCAGTTAGGAGGGAAGTATTCTGATAGAGTTTGGGGTACCCACGGAATTAGTTAATCTGAATAGGTAAATGTTTATCCGATAAGTTCCCTACTCAAAATGGTATAAAACAAGGAGATGCTTTATCATCATTGCTTTTCAACTTTGCTTCAGACTATGCCATTAGGAAGGTCCAGGAAAGCCAGGTGGGACTGAAATTAAATGGGAAATATCAGCTGCTGGTATATTCTGATGATGTAAACATATTGGGAGATCTTTTTATTTCTAGTAGGGTGGGACTAAGTCCCTTGTACTGCGGCCACTTCTGGCCTATTGTACCAGCCCCAGATGATAGGTGATGGTGATTGTGGAGCAATTGGTGGAATGAAGATTGGCAGGGGAAACTGAAGTACTCGGATCAGCCAGGAGTTCTCAGGATAGAAAAGTATATATAAAAAGAGTTGTAATACTTCATATTAATATTTGGTATACTTCCTATTCCCCCTCTCCAAAAAAAATCAAGATTTGTGGGGACGGGTGCGTGGTTCCCCTGCTTCCAGCACTAGTGCCAAAAGAACTGATGCATATTGGTGGGTTTATGCAAACAGCAAAAAATCAAATTGAGAATGATTGCTTACCAGTGTTGATAGTGAAGTGAATGTATTCAGCTGAGGAGTTTGCAGGCAACTGGAACAGCAATTGGAGATGCTTCTTGCTTTTATTATATAATGGTCACATACCTAGTCCAGAGTGACATTCTCATAACTTTCTCTCTCTCTCCCTCTCTCACTTGACTTTCTTCATTTGTATTAGCTTAGTAACTGCTAATCATGCTAATCTACTATGGCACCAGGTCCCTTATCAGTTCATTTCATATGGTGTGAGTCATGATTTAAAAAGGGGTGACCAAATCTAGTGTGAAATCGGAAAGTTCCCGGACTGTTATTGTTGTAACGGTCTGGGTGAAAGATGAAAGGGGAGGCCAAGGTCACACTTCTGCAAGCTTATTGCATCAGTGCCACGTGGCACTGCACCCTGAACGACCATTGTTTTAATACAAGTGCTTTTTCGACTTCTTGTTTCATTGTGTCTGCGATGGATGGCAAAATCGAGCTACGTGTCTGCATAAATGTTTGTGCGAAACTCGGTAAATCTGCTACCGAAACCCTTGAAATGCTTCGTGAGGCTTTTGGAGAACATTGTTTAAGCCGGTCAGTGGTTTTTGAATGGCATTCACTTTTCAAGACCGGTCGAGTGTCGGTTGAAAATGACAAACGTTCAGGGCGACCAAGCTTCAGCAAAACGTCAGAAATTGTTGAACAAATTCGAGAATTCATCCATGCAGACCGTCGCCGAACAATCCATGAGCTCACAGACACCGTTGGAATCAGTTATGGAGTTTGCCAGGAGATCTTAACAGAAAATTTGAACATGCGCCACATTGCCGCCAAGTTTACTCCCGGACTTGACAAATGATCAAAAGCAGTGGGGTACAAAGGTGTGTCTTCAGATACAAAAGAAGGCTAGAGAGGACCCATCATTTATCTCTAAGATCATAACGGGTGACGAAATTTGGATTTACTGTTATGATCCAGAAACAAAGCAACAATCATCTCAGTGGAAAAGCCCACAATCACCAAGAGTAACGTGCAGGGAGAGATTTTCTGCTATGCTTTTCCTTTTATCAATTTTGACCCCCAAAAATCGACCCTCACGATGGCGCCAATATTCAAAATTGATGCTGTGTTCGTCCATGACCGATTATGAGCGTAATAGACACGATATACCGATGTTGCTGTTTGGTGTACCTATAGACCAAACTTCACGTTGCCGTATCCCAAACAACCTTAATAACGTCTGCTGCATTCCTTTGCTGTAGATTCTGACTTCTGGAGATTATGTGCTTCATTATCTGAATGAGAGCAAATCACAGTCAAAAGAAATTTAATTAGTTTTACACAAGGCAAGCGCAAGTCTAAATACTCCCCACCTCCCAGGAAATTCTTCCTCCTCCATCTCGGTTACAAACATTTCAACGTTCTCAAGCGTTTGTGGTAAAGGTAAAATTGTCCCTGTGCCTAACTAATTAAACACTACGCCATGAAGGCGTATGAAGGAGTGGAAGTATAGAGCCACATTTTCTTGACTTTGGCACTAGTTGGAGGTGAGTGGTCAGCTTCACGCCCCGGATGGACAAAATGTTACATAAATTAATTTGTATTTAGCAACGCGCAAAAAGATAATGCTTCTAAAATGTGTCGTCCCCTAAAATCGTACAGACCTAGGAGGTCGGTTGGTTCTTCCATGCTGCCACACCCTCCAAGCTTTTACTGAACCTGTGAAATGTAAGTACACGTTTAAAGCTTCAAATGTTTCCTGTGTACAATTTACAACAACTTCCGCCTTCAGTTCTTCGCCACTTTCAGTCTTTTAATCCTGTCTTCAGTCATACATGAATGATGTGTCCATATTCCGTATTGTTTGGCCCTGGATATATTGCAGTTGCTGTTATCTTTCCCTCAGCTGTAATACGTCAGTTTGTCATCTGTCATGCTGACTATACATATCCGTTAATACCATTCTTATATAATTGGTCTCATGCTGATTACTGATTATAGTGAGTCACCTTGTGTCAGTTGAAGTCGTTTAATATATGCTGCTTGCCCCGCCTATCTCATCATTCTTGATTGAGCATGTTTTAAGAAAATCCTTAATATTCTGCTTGAGCTTCGTATGAAGTACTAGCAAAACTTATGTTGAACTGTTATGAATCAGTCCATATAATCTTGGCTACTTTTGATGAAGAAACATTCAGTAGTTTCGAAAACGGATACTCCGTACTGCAAGACAGAAATAAGATAATAATAACTAAGATAACTCCATGGTTTTAGTCCGCAAGCGAACTATACCTACCGAGCGACCGCCGCTTGTCGGCGAAGTTAGTGCCAACTTTAGCGGATAGAAGGTGTCGCGTGGTCAGGTCAACGAATCCCCACGGCCGTTAATTTCGGTTTTCTAGACCGGCGAGACAGAAATACACGATTTTTTTTTATATTGTAACGTGTCGGCAAACCAGAGGAGTAACTTCTATGGAAACGCTACAATAGACCGTTACAGAGGAGACAACAATTGCTCCATTGTAATTCTAACAGGAGTCTCCATGGTTATAACGGAGGGTTCGTTGCCTAACAGCGGGCAAGGTTATAGATAGCCCAGCTTCAGCGAAAAACAGTGCGTCTCGGAATAGCATTCGAAGAAGTGAGTCGCGGAACAGCCATCGGAGAAGAAGCTTCGGAATATCCGTCTGGGTCCAGTATCGCCGGAATATTGTAATCGGTTATTGTAAGCCTGCAAGTGAAAATGCCTGTAAAGTGTATAAGTGAGCGAAAGAAATAAATTCGCTATATTGGGACGACGGCGTCAACTTATTTGTAGCGTGACACACCCAACACGCTACACATATACGGGGTCTGCGTGACTGATAAGACGGGTTTTGAATTTGGTGATCGAATTTATTGAACCTTTATACAGCTGATTACGAAAGTTTGCAAATCACTATCTGACATATTGTCGTCTTCTTGTGACTGGACACTCAACGGGAACTAGTCTGACGTCCAGCTGAACTGTCAAATCGAGTCGAGTCTCATGTTACGACCAGATTTTTTTTACTGTTAAGACAGTTGTGGGTTTGTTGATGTGGGGAGCTCTCTCTGACGAGAAGACGGGTCTATCGTTTACAATTTCTGCTGGCCCTCGTCAGGGCAGTCATTCTCGGGTCCGAGTCTCATGGGACTCACGACTATGTTACTGTCCCAGATTCGAGACTTCCCTTTTCGTCTCCTCCTACGACTCGCACGGCTACGGTGGAGGTATTCGACCCCGCCTTTACACGGGATATAACTGTCAATTCAGAGTCAAAGTCACATTACGACTGACTGTCAGTCAGTCAGTCAGTTCTGGTGTCGAGCCCAATCTGGGACATAGACCAGATATTTATTACTGTTTTTTTACAGTTACAGTCTTGTTATTGCGAAGCACCCTCCCTGACGAGAGGACGGGTCTGTCTTTTGTCAGAGTCACTGTCTGCAGTAGTAAGTCATTTGTCATAATGTAAGGGATATTTACATTTTGCTTGTTAAACTTGTTGATAAATGTATACAGGGCCTCTGTCAGTCCAGGCTCAGTACAGCAGATTATGCCATATTTCTAGTAGCTTCCGCTACAAGAAATAGGGCATAATCCTTTATTGTCGAGTATTGTTGTACGCATTACCCAACAATGGGCTGTTTACCAAGAATCTGTTTCCGCGTGAAAGTGTTTATCGAGCTGTTGCCTAGCAATGGGTCAATACGTCACAATTTCATTTCATGGCAAAATGGCACTTAAAAGATATTTCCTTGTAAAAGAAGTATATATATATGTGTGTGTGTGTGTGTGTGTGTGTGTGTGTGTGTGTGTGTGTGTGTGTGTAAAAGAAATATTCGATGAAGGAACCAAAATTTATGCCAACCTGAAAGCTGATTTGTGATCACGTGATGAAATATTTTGATTCCCTTTCCCGAGCCCTGAATTCCATATACGACACTGCCGAAATCATAGCCACGAACATCACATTTTGATACAACTTTTATTCAAAATTCGAGAGAACACGGAGGTCAAAATTCTGAGTAAATTCAACCTTTGAACAGCTTACAAATATAGGAAACAGTGACTAATACTTTGCTTTCTGATATCCTGTGATCCTAAGTTTACTCAAACAGTATGACCAAAGTCCATTAGAAGAAATTTTGGATAAAAATTTTCAACATGGAATTAGAAAGTGTTAAGACCATCTTGCGGACAAATAGGGATACCAATTGGTTTTTGAAAGGAATGGTTCTAAAATGACCACCTCTGTGGTCTAGTGGTCAGAGTTCCTGCCTACAGATCCAAAGGTCCGGTTTCGATTCCCGGAGCTACCAGATTTTCTGAGAAGTAGTGGATCTGGAACGGGGTCCACTCAGCCTCGTGAGGATAACCGAGGAGCTGTTTCAAGGAAACAGCGGCTCTGGTCTAGAAACCCGAGTTTAACGGCAGTGGGGAACCTTAGCACTGACCACGTGACACCCTCTATCCACAAAAGTTGGAGCTAATTTCGCCGACAAGCGGCGTTCATTCAGTCAGTATGCTTCGCCTGAGGACCACAGGCCACGGAATTGGTTTTGTTTGTTTTTCTTTTTTTGTGGATTCATATTTTCAGCATAAAGTATCGTCTTCAACTAACCAAGTAACTTAATGCCTCGCGCATGTGGGCCAGCAGGCGGGGGGGGGGGAACTGGCCATCTGCCCCTCGCCCTGGATTTCTTTAAAAATAATGAATATATTTACTCCATTATCACTACCAATTTCATGTAAACTCTCATTCCCAATTATTAGTTTTTGAATATTTAATACTAAAACAAATACTGGATCATTTCGTATGTATAGTTATGCTGTAAGCCGGAAAGTCGCGGGTTCGATTCTGAATGAGATCATGGAATTTTTCAATTGATCTGATCTTTCCAGCCGCATAATGCTCCCTGGGAACGATTCAGGCTGTAACATAAATGATTACCAGGAATCTCCTTGGGGGTAATGTGCGCCCACCCGACGCGTAAGACTGACAGCCTCACCACAATCTGTGAGATCTGTGAGTTGATTGTCTAGAAAATGTGGGGAGCCTCGACGTCTCATAGCCCAATTGCCCTCCACAGCCTGTTACAGGGACGGCTTTACCTTTTACCTTTACGTATATAATGTAATTCCGTTTACTGTAACATGTGTCTTTTTTAAACGTGTACCTATAACAGTGCTGTATTTCAGATATAACTGACGCTTCTGTGTCTTGAATTTCAATCAAATCTTATTTTAAAATCATGTTTCACCTTTACAGAAAACACATCATTTCCCTGCTACATAGATGAGCTGCTGAGGGGAAATAATCCTGGGTGTTCTAAGAATTATAAGAATTATGTAAATACGTTTCAAAACCCTTCGTTTTTAAATGGTAGAACACATGGTATAAATGGTAACGATTGTGCCCAAGTGTTGTGAGCGCTGGTAGTTTGCAATGATCACAATGATCATGGCAATGAGAGAAATTTAAGCGGCAAGGAATTCATTGCTCAACGGTTTTATAACCTGCTTGGTATATATTCATTGAATTTGTATTGGCCGTTGCACGGGAAGAAAAATGGCCGACAAGCAGTATGATGTCTCTGAGGCGACGAAGAGATCCGTTGAAGCGTACGCAAAGAGAAGAGCAATATTGCGCGAGGAATATATTAAGCAGATTACAAATCCTCATAGGCATGGGACAGGAGAAGGAGGCACATTGGTGAGGAAAAAATGCCGTTCTCATATATTTCATGGGAGACCTTAGGTTTCAATGTGAACAAATATAATTGTTCTTGTGTGGCGAATAAAAAGGAATTATGGAGTGCCATTATAATCACGTATCCAGTGACATAACTGTGATATTGTGTGGTACTCTAACAGGGCATAAAATCGGCTGTTAATGGTGCAGGAGTGATACAAGACTGTAATATCTAGAATCAACTTTTAACGTAAACGAAAGCCCAAAAGCATAATAAGTTGTAAAATTAAAACTTAACTATAGAGTAATGTAACTTATCTTAGTCCTTCTGTATATAATTTAGACAAAATGAAATGATGGGAAGTGTGTTACAATGTTTTCACCTTTTTCATAATAAACTGAAGCATATGATGAGCGTTTACAACTAATGAACAACATTCTTAGAATTCTATTCGTGAGAAGTTCAGTGTTCATTGATTAAAAATTATAAATACAAGAATATGCTGAGCCCACAAGTTAGGTTTTGTTTGAAGAGTACTGTCTTCTGGGATGTTACACTATATAGTCTGGTAGAAGTTTACTGACATTTCAGAGGAATGTACTACATTTATCTTCAGGGTCAGATTAATCCAAGCCAGCATTTTCTTACTGTATGCTTGGGTTACTCTTTGACCTGGAAGACGGAGGTAGCAAATTCCTCCTAAGCGTCATTAAACTGTTAACACAGTGTAATGTCCCAGAAGATGGTGATCTTTGTTGTTGCTACCGTGAGAATGTCATATAGGTTTTGTTTGCCTTCTGATGTTTCACTGAAGAATTTCTGAATAAATACAAAATTACAGCTGCTACACTTTATTAGTGTAGGAAGGTAATGTTAACATGGTGATATTGTTTTCAGTAAACATTGTTTCTTATGTCAGCTACTGTTAATGTTGCCTTCAGTGTGGCACCATTTCAAAGAACTCAGAAACTATCGAGTAGTTCAGTTGTGTAGAGGTAGTATCACCCCACTGATATCTGATCCCATTATGGAGAACATGAAAGCTGTTGAGTAATTCATTTGCCCAAACGTAACTCAAACCCGTTACTATTTGGTCCCATTTCAGAGGACTCAAAAGCTATTAAGCGATTCATTTGACCAGAAGTAGTTCAAAACTACTGCTCTGTCTTCCCATTCTGGAGAACTCAAAAGTAATTGATTTGCCCAGAAGTAGCACTGATGTGATTTTCTCACATATAATTTTATGCTTAAATCTTTGGTTTAAAAGATGTTACAGCTACTTACTTTAGTATCACCTAGTTAAAAATATTTTCAACTCACTAGATATTTTAGGGAGGACATGTAGCACGCATGGGGAAGAACCAGAATGAATATAGGATTCTGGTGGGAAAGCCAGAAAGAAAGACCACTGAGAAGACCTAGATGTAGGTGGGAGGATAATATTAAAATGGATCTTAGAGAGATAGGATGGAGTGGTATGGACTGGATTTATCTGGCTCAGGATTGGAATCAGTGGAGGACTCTTAATTTAGTGAAAATTACAACAACAAAAAATTATTTCTGCCAAAATCTGCATATGTAGTTATAAATAAGACAGAACTATCAAAAGCTCCTCGGCTTGAACTCAGGACACCTACAGAAAAGCTGATAAGAGTATTTCATAGAATTACAGCTGTGTTTTACCCTAGCTTCTTGTCTTAGGTGGTCTGCTGAAGAGACCAATAGGAGCTTCAGCTTTGTTTTTATGGCAGATGGAAAATTGAACTGTAGCTACTAGATGACAGAAGGTGCTTAGATACACATCTTCAAGAGCTTCTGTGATTGAGGGTAGATGTCATAAGACTGTATCATTTGTGTAAATAATTTCCAACAAGTTATTGTACCCTATTTTCTGTCACTACATAAGAATGAAGAGGTATGCTCCAATTTGGAATACACACATTTTCCAAGCATGTATTTTATGATTTTTCATCCATTGGGCTTGATGTTCATTTAATCCATGTACTATCTATTGCTGATAATATGATCAGTGCAGGTAATTTACAGTTGAGTGAACTTTAAATCTGCTCAGTAGCCATGAAGCAGTACAGATATTACACTTCATAGCAGTGTAAATTATTTTCCTCTTAATTTATTAAGTCGTTTGCATTCCCTACAGAGCGGACAATACTTGTAAGATGATGCACCGACCAAATAATTAACATTATACTACATCTACATCACAAGCCTCCACAACAGTTTATTATATATACAACAAATATAGAATACTCCAATTTGTCTGTGGGAACACAACAAAATCACAAAATCAACCACTGACTCGATGATGTAAAGCATCACTCTGAGAATTTTATTCTTGTTTTATATTACAACTTTTGTTTTATATAGTCTAATTTATTGTATTTTTATTCCAAGTATTTTAATATAATTAAAATTATTGTATCCAATTTTACTAGTACTGCAGTTCAGTGGTGTATATATGTTAGACATGTATTTGCCTGATGACGGCTTTTAATAGCCGAAACATGTAGCAGAGCCAGACTATCAGACAAAAGTTTTAAGAGTTTTCTAGACAGCAGTGGGTTGGCCCACTGATACACACAGTTATAGTGGTCACATATTTTAATGTACAGGGTTATTCAAAAAGAATGAACTGATTTCATGACGCATTGCTTCAGTTCTCAAGCAACATCATGGAATGAGTCAGTGACCATTTGAAAGAGGAGTTATCTAAGTTGTGAATGGCTGCCACAGGGGCGCTGAAGTCGCGTCATTCTTCCGGCAATGTTCAGTTGTTCGCTTACCCTCGGAATGGCGAGTCCTCAGCAAAAGGCGTTCTGCCTTCTCGAGTTTGCGAAAACAAATTCAGTTGTCATGGTGCAGCGTGCTTTTCGAAGGCAATTCGGTATTAATCCACCCTGTCCTAATAACATTCGACAGTGGTTTCGACAGTTTCAAGAGAGTGGGTGTCTGTGTAAAGGAAAAAGTCCGGGACGACCACGAGTCTTGGAGGAACAAGTGGCGAGAATCCATGCTGCGTTTGAGAGGAGACCGCGGAAGTCAACAAATCAAGCTAACTGTGAGCTTGCGATCCCTCAATCGACTGTCTGGCATCTGCTAACAGTACGTCTACATTTGAAACCATACAGACTGCAGCTCGTTCAGGCACTTACCAATGACGACAGAAGGAAGCGGATGGAATTTTGTGATTCGATGCTGGAGATGATAGAAGACGAAACCGTCATTTCACATTTAATTTTTAGTGATGAAGCGACTTTTCACTTGAGCGGCACAGTCAGTCATCACAATGTGCATATTTGGGGAACAGAGCACCCACATGAAGCAGTTTAGCATGAAAGAGATTCCCCTAAGGTGAACATCTTCTGTGCTGTGTCTCAGGACAAGGTTTATGGTCCCTTTTTCTTTGAAGGAAACACCATTACAGGACAAACCTATCTCGATATGCTCCAAAACTGGCTCTTCACTTCACTGCAAGCAAATTCGCATGACTTAGTTTTTCAACAAGATGGAGCACCGCCCCATTGGCACCTGATGGTCCGAGCTTTTTTAAATGGAAAAGTGCCCCAGCGATGGATTGGTTGGAAGGGGGCCCAAGACCTTGCTCTTTGTGCTTGGCCTGCGAGATCCCCAGACCTCACTGTGTGTGATTTCTTCTTGTGGGGATATGTAAAAGATCACGTTTATGTTCCACCACTACCCACTAACCTCGATGACCTTAGACATTGAATAACAACAGTGATTAACTCAGTGCATCGTGATATGCTGATACGCGCCTGGGAGGAATTCTCTTATCTCATTTATGTTGCCCATGCTGCAGGTGGTGGCCACATTGAACACTTGTAAGACAGGAAATAAAAGCTGATTGTGAGTAGAATACTTGTGACTTGGCTGGAGTTTTGTATTACTTTCCTTTAATAAAATAGTATTGTGTAATAAAATCGGTTCATTCCTTTTGAATAACCCTGTATATACCTAACATGAAAGTACCCACTTCAGATAGCAGCTATCTTAACAGAACACTATTGATTTTCATTATTTCTCCAACGAAATTCTAGGACATTGCCTTACAATTGGCTACAGCTACTCTGCACTGTGTCTTTCTGATTCAGCATTCACAATTACACCACCTCAGTTAACATTGCAGTGACATCCAGAGTAGGTGGTTTTCAGTGAGATGTACTTGTCTGTGACACTGCACTAGACTACTGGTGTCTTTAGAAGTACTTGAATCATGTCTACATTAAGTAAGAGTGCCCAGCAGTTTCATTGTTCTGTCTAGGAAGGGAAGAATCCATATGTGATCTGGTTGGGTTTCAAACCTGAGACCTTTCATATGAGAGACCATTGTTTTATTCTTGTATTGCCATATCTGTAATGAAACGCTTCTTGGCCTTATAGCTTAATTTGAGCCATGGCCTTCTTTTGTGGAGGCTTTCAAAATCTTTACCAGAACAGGAGTTGAAATTCTTTTAGTGGTCTATCATATTTCAGGCCTCTTGTGTACCCAGAACACGGAAAGATGCAGACACAAATCTATCAGATATGAACTCATTATCCCAGTGTTTAATAATCCAAAACTGTATGCATCCTAGATCAGTGTCCTCCAGTATAAGTGTAGTCCTGTGTTCATGCAGAATAAGTCAGTATTTTTCTTATCTAAACATTTAATGCATTGAAGAGTTATTATCACGAAAATATGTTTTAAACTGATTGTAACTTATGTCTGACAGTAAGGGTCATTTCCTGATATTAATTATTATCTGTGTTCCCAAAGCATGTGATTTACAGTGTAACATGCATGTGATATCAGTCCATGACCTCAGGGTGATAAGTCTTCTACGACGAATTCATACTAGTGATTGCGTCAGTAGTTATGAGGCAAATTTTGGGGAGGATGTAACGAAATAGCGTGCAGATACTAGTTAGACTAGTTATATTCAAGTCTCTTCCTGAATTATTTGTATTCTTAGTGTCAAACCTGCAAGAGCTGCAAGTTTGTACATAACTATAATAGTAGCATTATTTAATTGGGAAGGGGGTGAAAATCATGTAGAGAAATACTTTCACACCTGCAAAAATTTCCTATAAATGTTGGAGCCAGAATAGAAAATAAAATGACAAGGATAACAAATCAGGACACCTGCACATCAATAATAGCCAGTTCCTTCTATGGGTAAACCCATCATTGCTAGGATATTGGGAGACTGATGGATGAAAGGGATGGGGAAGGAATATAGAAGAAAAGAGGGAAGGAGATAAAGGGATATAAGAATGAAAGGTCATGGTTGAGGGAACTGTTTTAATTGAGGAAGAAAGCGGGAGAGGAATAATGATAGAATTGACAAATTAAAGAAATTGGAAAGCAACAAGAGAGAAAGAAGGAGATACAGATATGAAACAGGTATAAAGTAAAAGAACATCATCATGATTTGTGCCTGTTACCTTTGATGAGTCATGCACTAATGGTAATATAATAGGAAGAAAATTTGAATTGTCATTATGGAAATTTAAGGCACCGCGATGACCTAGCGTCTGGCATTTGTGCAGGCCTGAGTTTGCTTTGTTACATAGGCATACAAACAAGGAGTTTGGTAGATAGGTACTAATGTTTTGTAGGAACCTGTTGTTCAGTTAAAAACAGATCCCTTCTACTCTTTCCCAAAATAGTTACATTATTTTGAATTTTGAATCTACATATTATACAGGGTGTGGCAGAAATAGTCCAGTGTTTTTAAAATGGAATGACATCTTGCAAAATGTGAAATATCTAATTTTGAATATATACTGGTTCTCTAGGCTTTGACATCCTTTTACAGAATTTTACTTTTTGTGAAGTACATTCTTCACATGATCAACATTCTGTTAAGTGCACTGGTGTAGAAGAGTTGAGAACCTCTGCATCACTTCCCAAAATGTTCCTTCATAAATGTGGGCTGTTTCTTCTCATCTGAGTCAGCTGAGCTGACTGCCTTACACTTCACTTTTTTGGTACACACAGAGAACAGTTGGATCTGATGAAGGAAGGGGCTAGAGCATATCGTGGTAATTTAACAGCTCCTGTTCAGATGAAAGGCTTTACAACAGGCATGTCTAACTCAACTTGTACAGAGGGCCACCTCAGCACTATAAATATTAGTCCAGGGCCGCACTTCAAAATAGAAATATACATTAGATTTTGATAACACGTAAATTTAATTCTATTTATTATTTAGGAATAATTTCAATATAATTAATTAATTAATTAATTAATATAATAATGTAATATATTATGTTAGAAATAGCAAAACATTGAATTTCCTGCAGCCTGCTAATTTATGTCTGCGTGAGACTTCTTGTCTTCTGGTCTGTTGGAAAATTGTCTTTACAAAAAATATTTCTACTAAAATTTTAATATCAATTAGCTCTAAAAGTTGAGGGGCTGCACTTTGCGGCTATGGGGACCGCATGCGGCCCGCGGGCTGCATGTTTGACACAACTGCTTTACAGTATAGATGATCCTTTACTGTCCAATGCTCCAAGTTAGACTGAACTGTGAAGTCACTGCTGTAGATCTGTTACATGTACCATAACAGAGAAGTGTGAAATTAAACTTTTATAATGCTTCATTGTTCCTCCTGCATCCTGTACATGAAAATGCCTGTTTTGTTTTACAGTTTGACTCTGGGATACAGAGATTTATGTCCATGAGGGCAACAGAATATGAGCATTTCAAGCCAACTCCAAAAACTTCAATGTATGGTCTGGGCATAATTGTGATTCCCATTGTGGCATATGCCTATCTGTTGAAGACTACTAGAGTAAGATATTCTTCATATTAAATAATAAGGTACCATGTGGACAAGTTATCAGTGAACCGGGCCTCGTTTTTATGCTCTTCAGCACACTCCTCAGAATGCTGGAAGGTTACTAGGTGTCAATAGCTTGTGTTTGTTTACTGTCATGATCCAAAATGCCCCCTGCAATTTACAAGTAGGAAATGTTGGGGAATTTAGGGTAGATCCAGGAAGTCTCATAAGCATGGGATGTAGACAAGGAAGAGTCTGTACATGTGGGAATTGTATTTTTTAAGAATGTGTTCATATGATATTCTCTGGATAAATGACCTAACCTAAAGAAAACGGATCTCAGAGAGATAGGATGGGATGGTATGGACTGGATTGATCTGGCTCAGGATAGGGACCAGTGGAGGGCTATTGTGAACAGGGTAATGAACCTTCAGATTCTGTAAAATGCTGGGAAGTTTGTGAGTAGCTGCACAATTGGCAGCTTCTCAAGAAGGGCTCAGCTGCATGAAGTTAGCCAACAGTCATATGGTCTGTACTGTTGTGTAAGTGGTCAACTTTCTGAGCTATGAGTCTTACGATTTCAGAGAGGCTTTCAGTGTGACTCTTTTTGGTGGGGAAAGATGCACACCACAGGAGGTTCAACTGAGGCAAAACCATGAAGTGGAACAGGAGTGCCTGAGGAATGGTGCAGGTTATCTACCTGAACCTGCAGACATCATTCCCCATTACTTATGGCTGATCATAATAGCTTCTGGCTGCTAATAAAGTCAGTGGGCCAGGAGTTGGGTAAAAGCCAGTACAGGGGGTGGAATTGTTGGTTGACAATAAACAAACTGATATGAGTGTAGCAAGCTAGTGAGATTATAAGGCAGGGTGGAGTAATGTCTTCTGATGGCTGCAATTTATTGTAAATGCTACAGCATATACTAAAAATTATTGAGATTCTGACCTAAGGTTTAATGGCTGTATGTGTATAGAAAGAGGGAGAGATTTAGGCATAAGAACCTCAACCAAACCTCATCCCTACCTGTATACCATAAATGAGCAGTGAGTGTACTCTTGGTGAGGCCATGCTATTATGTTTGTGAATTCCATTTCAAGACTCCTGTCTCAAAGGGGTTTCTTATACAGTATATCCTACTTCCGTAGCGCTGCTGGAAAATGATACGACCTGTTACAGGGTTAGCTTTACTGTTTAGATGATCTTGATTTTTGATATGAGGCATAGTTTGGTTTAAATGCACACATAGAAATTGAAGTAACCACAGGCTAAGTTCAGTAAATTACTACACAGTTGATTAAGTTAGCCCAACAGTATCATGTGTCTAAAAATATTGACCTAAGATGTGAGGTCTCCACAGAAACATAAGTTTGGCACATTGAGACTCATCTATAAAGTATTGAAGTTATATTGCGTGAGAAAAACAGGCAGTGATTTCTCAGCAAAATATCTGTTGCTGTGTGGGAATGAGACTTGGCTGTAATGATATTTGGTCCAGAGATAAACTGTACACTGTATATTTTTACATCCCTACTGAAATCTGTTTACAGTTTTACAAATATGAAATCCATTTAAAACTTTACAATTATAGTAGAACTAGTATGTAATTGTCATTACCATTGTTATATTGACATTCAGAGTAGAATGGAATAATAGAAGCAAGCTTAGTGTCATATTATTTTTGAACCACATCATAATTTCTTTAACTCAGTGGTAGTGAGGCAGACTTAATCTCCTTCATTCAAATCCTGGCTGATATTTTCGGAGAATGGACAGAGTTGAGTCTTCAAAATGTTGCTGTTAAATCAAAATAAAATTAAGACAATGGATAATGTCTAGAAAATTGTGTTTTTCTTATATTCAAATAGATAAATTACAGAAACCATGGTCTCACGCTGTGTAGTGCTGCATCTTTTAGATGTAGTAATTCAACTATGCGTTGTGTGACAGCCATACAGTGAAACAAAATGGCATCACAGAATGTTCAATAGATCTTGAAGATGTGGTTAATCAGGATTACATTGCAAATATGATGATACATCTGATTTGAGGTTCTTGTGATGGTGACTGAAGAGTGCTATTATCATGTGTCACTGTGTGGTCTGGTGGTATTCTACTGATATTTTGGAGGAACATACTGTCTCCATCTACAAGGTTGAAGAGTAAGCCAGGCAAGCAGAGATGCTGTAATTGTTGCTTGCTTGGTGTACATCAGTTTACTCTTTAACCCTGAAGACAAAGGATTTATGTTCCTTCATAACATCGGTAAAGTTCTACCAGACTACACAGTGATATGTCCTCTAAGATGATATGATTTGTGCTGCTTGTAATTTTCTATTATAGTTGCTATGTGATCCACTTTTGAGGGGCTATTCTACAAGCCGGAAGGTCGTGGGTTCAAGTCCCGATGAGGTCATTGGATTTTTTCAATTGACCTAATCCTTCCAGCTGCACTATGCCCCTTGAGTTCACTTAGCCTCTAACAGAAATGAGTACCAGGAATCTTCCTGGGGGTGTAAAGAGCTGCTGGCACGTAAGACTGACAACCTTACTTGTGAGCCGATTGCCTAGAAAATGTGGGAGCCTCATCTCACAAACCTATTGGCCTTCATAGCGTGGTACAGGGATAGCTTTACTTTACTTTATGTGATCTACATTTATTGAACTTTGATATAGGTATTGAATTCCATGTGACATGCTTCGATTCATAGAGGTTAAAAGTTATCAGTACTTTGATGCATTTTTTTCATTATACAAATAATTTTGAGTCACTTCCCAATAAACATGCATAATATATTAAGATAGCAGATGAATGCAGAAAGTATTCCCATTATTTCAACAGTTAATTTGGCAACACTGATCATTTGACTTCCCATTTATACATTTCATCAGAATGTTTACAATACAGTACTCTGAAACAAACTAACAAATCAATCAGCAGAGAACCTCTGAAATCTCATTGCAGTATTGTAGATTTGCTTTTACTAACATAATAGAAGCATCTTATCGCCACCGAGTATGAAGAATCTGTTAGGATTTGATTGTAAGGCCGAGATAGAAATGGATACACAGACATTAGGATAGTCTTCCTTTTTACAATAGTGTCTCTTCTTCATTCATACCATAGTGGCAATTGCATGAATGTATCATATTAAAAAATATATATATATTTCAGTTGCATTCAACCAAAGAAGAGAAGTTAAAGCCGCACCGTAGCTCAAGCAGTTAGTCGCTGGGTTCGATCCTAGGTCTGACCAAGTGGGATTTGTGGTGGACAAAGTGACACTGGGGCGGGTTTTCTCTGAATACTTTGGTTTCCCCTGCCAATCTTCATTCCACCAAATTCTCCATCATTATAATCACCCAGGGCAGGTACAATAGGCCAATCAGTGGCCACCATGCCGAGTGGACCCAGCTGGACTCCACCCCCACTAGCAAATTTAAAAAAAAAGAGGAGAAGTTAAACAATGTTTTATGCGTTGTAGGGCACCAACATAAATGGCAGAACACTAATTTTGAGCTCCATGGAATAGTGTTGATTGAGAAATAACCAGTAAAGGGCTATGGCTCTTCAGAATTTGTGGGATTATTATGTCTGAGGAAGCTTGAGACAGAAAGTCTGTAGAAACAACACACACACTTTGCCGATCAAAATTGGAAATGTTATCCCAGGAATCACAGAAGGCAAATTTAAGCATGTCAGAATTTTTTCAGTGTAAAATATGCATGAATGTTTGAGGACACTACATTCAATAGTTATTGTAATATCAGGTAGACAGAATGATTTTTCTGGTAACACTCGTCAAATGTGAATGTACTTCCAATCAGATCATGTGATCTGATTGTGATTTCCAGTATAAACAGTTAGTAATAGGGTTTGAACTGAAGGAAGTAGATGCTTTTTTTTTATTAGGACATTATCCTACTCTTTTGTTTCTATATGCAAGGAGACTGTGTTCGTGACAATTTTTATGTTTGGCGTATCAGAGGTGAATGTATAGGTGTGTTTCTGTGTTGCTGCCAGTTGCATATGCTTAATTTCATGTCCATCACCATATGGTATATTTATTTCAGATGCTCAATACACTGAGCCAAATGTACCACTGGAACCTGATCGTTTTGCCGAAGCAGAAACCACANAAAAAAAAAAAAAAAAAAAAAAAAAAAAAAAAAAAAAAAAGGACTTTTTTTTTTAATGCAGATCATTTCTTTTCTCTCTTTGATATTGTATCATTACATCATATACTAAATGAAATATAAATTACAGGAATGAATGCTATATTTGTTAAATGCAGTTCCTGATCACAGTGCCACTGTGTTAAGAATGAATATTACTGTCTTCTGGGACATGATACCATGTAGTGTGGTAAATCGTTATGAACATTTCAGTGGAATATGCTCTGTCCATCTTTCAGGTAGACACATTCTTCTGTGCTGAAGATGTAGGTAGCACATTCCTCTGAAATGTAGCAGTTTATAAGACCGCTCATAAATCTTCAGTCACTGCTAGGAGAACCTCAAATTTGAAACATGTTGAGAGTGGGTACAGATATACTGAGTCTATACTGCCGTGTAGTTTATAAATGCATTCTCTTTCCTCCTTTTGTACAGGATGCTCAGGAACACAAGTATCGAACCGGTCAAGTTGCCTACAAGGACAGACGTTTCAAGTTTATCTAAGTGTGTTCTCAGATTGTAGAAGAGGTATACAAAGAGATACTTGAGTAAGAAAATGTGTTGTTGTTGCTGTACCATAATAGTGAATGTATCATACAAATAAATTCATATACATTTCTGTAGTGTGGTTTCTTAAAAGGGTGATTTATCAAAGGATATATACAATTTATGAGGTCAGGCTAGGAGTCACTGACTTTTGACCCTTGTTCAGATATTGTGGGATGACTATAATAGAAATGAGGGGAATATTGTCCATGTTATTTGTAATCCGCATTCGGTTTCTGAAGAACGGTGAATACGAAGGCCACACACATGAAAACTTATGAATATAGGTAATTTTATACCAGGGTAATTGGACTAGGTCTGTAGTTATTACAGGTACCCAGCTGCTTAGGTATGTGTATCTATAAACCTATAGAACACTAAATTCTGACATGTCTTTATGAGGTGACTGGTAGCATAAGTCTCCAGTGCAGTGCCATGATTAGATGATTTATGGGTACCCCCTCCACCCCCAAAATGTCTACGACAGAATTCAGTTAGAAATTATAAATATTTGGTGATGAAGGGTCCAACTTTTATAACCACAACCCTAGATGTTCTGTGGGTCTGTGTAATAAAGTTAGCTCGCTTATGGCTTCATTGCATCTCCTGTCTGCTTGAATTTTGACCTGTAACAGGCACGGGGCTATTGTAAAGCCATACCATGATACAAATTAAATCCAGGATTGCCATGGCAAAAGCTGCATTTAGCAAGAAGAAGAATCTTTTTACCAGCAAATTGGACTTAAATTTGAGGAAGAAACTAGTGAAATGCTACATTTGGAGCATAGCTCTGTATGGGGCTGAAACATGGACACTTAGGGCAGTGGATCAGAAACATCTGGAAAGCTTCGAAATGTGGTGTTGGAGAAGGATGGAGAAGATCAGTTGGACCGATTATGTGAGAAATGAAGAAGTGTTAATTAGAGTCAGTGAGCAGAGGAATATCCTACACGAAATAAGAAAACGGAAGGCTAATTGGATTGGTCATGTTTTACGCAGAAACTGCCTTCTAAAAGAAGTTATCGAAGGAAAGATAGAGGGGCGGATAGAAGTGACAAGAAGACGAGGAAGAAGACGTAAGAAGATGCTGGATAACCTTGGGGACAGAAGAGGATACTGTCATTTGAAGGAGAAAGCTCTAGATCGCATTAAATGGAGGAACTGTTTTGGAAGAGACTGTGGACCTGTCGTCTTGACAGATTACTGATGATGATGATGATGACCATGATACATGCTTGTCATACTTGGACAAGAACATTTATGTGTATCATCTTAGGTGACTTTTCTTCCTACATACCATTAAACATAACGATTGAGTGGTTAGTGCTCCTATGTTTTATTAGTGAGTCTGTAGTGCAGTTCTTGAAATTATCACTGTTTCTTTCATCATCTCCCTCTTAGAATTCCAAAGGAACAGTGTTCCTCCTTTTTAACTCCTCATATTCAGACTGTTATTATAGACACTAATTAACAAATCTTTCTGAAACTCGGTGCGAGCAGCATGCTGTTTGAATCCAATTTTACTCCCTGTGATCAGGCTATATGAACTTGAGAAGTAAAACAACACTAACCCCATTCAGGATAGTGTTTCAAAGTTCTGTACTCTTATACAGATATTACAAAAAGATATGCACCTCTTATTGAATAAGTTAAAAAAATAACATAGTCACGTGATTTTTTTTTATTTCTTTCATTCTGGTCCATCACACAAATATTATGAAAAAGTTAAATAGTTCTGTCCAGTGTGACTGGTTAAGATTTTCTTGTTTCAATTATTCATGCCCTTACATGTTTCGGTCTTCAGAGACCATCTTCAGGGGGGGCACCTTTACATCAATACAGTTAGAAGCCACTATTACAATATGTTCTAAAAGTTAAAATATATACATACAATATAAATAATATACAATTGGCTGTAAAATCTAAAGTCTTTACAACTACAGCGGCTGTTTCAATACATTAAAATATTTATAGTTTGTTATGATTCTATTGGAATTCGTAAACCAAGCTGGTTCGTGTCGTCCCTCTTATTATTTCTTTTGACGGGGGCCAAATGTGTGCCACCTTGTCATTCTTGAGAAGAGGGTTCTTTAATGTTGTCCTGTGTGTGTTTGTGGCCCACTGTATTGTTTTTAATGTATTGGAACAGCCGCTGTAGTTGTAATGACTTCAGATTTTACAGCCAATTGTATATTATTTATATTGTATGTATATATTTTAACTTTTAAACATATACTATAATAGTGGCTTCTAACTGTATTGATGTAAAGGTGTCCCCCTGAAGATGGTCTCTGAAGACCGAACATATAAGGGCATGAATAACTCAAATAAAAAAATCTTAACCAGTCACACTGGACAGAACTATTTAACTTTTTTTTTACATAATATATTCAGTTTGGTTAATAATTATAACTTTCCATGTGAAATTTATGACATACGAATGTCCTATAAAATGTTTTGATTTATTACACTGACTTTAAACTGGGGAAATCTGGCAGAAGTTATGGGTTCAAGTTAATTCTTACCCTACCACCTTTCGTCTCCTGAATGGTTCATTGTGAAAAAGAAATTTCTGCTAAAATATTTAATTTAGGAAGTGACTTATATTGATGTCTTTTTAGTATAATTTCCTTATTTTGAAAAAAAATGAAAGGCTTATAAGATGTCCTTGCTGTCTGGTCTGGTAAATTGCTGCTGGCCCTAGCCAGTAGTCATTCTTGGTTACGAGTTCTGCAGGACTTATGACTGTTTTACTGTCTCACGTCTGGTAGTCATGCAAACTCACACCTTGTCTTGCTGTTTATGGTTTTTCCTGTTTATATAACTTCAGGGTGGATCGCCGAGAAAACACCACCTCCAACGGTTATGTGTCATTTTCAGTGTGGTCTATGGTGTATGAAAAGAAAAGTGATAGTTCTCCCGTGGGCTTTTTGTTTCACTATGTAATACTGGTCCTTAAATTGCACCATACCAATGGCATATACTTTTGATAAACTATGGTGAACATCCACCTGTCCCAGACAAGGTTCCGCATAATCCAACAACTCTTGGAGTTCCATTCAGTATGTTACATTCCTGTAACATTCCTGTAATGATTAAAGTTCCTGGAGTCTTGCACTCAGTATGCTAAGCCAGCTAATGCTGTCATACATGCCTACATACAACACAACCACATGTCACACCCCCCTGACCAATTTTATTTTAACGATAAATGTTAACTGATGAGGATTATCTGTACAGCAGTCATAGTTTTATTTGTAGGAATTAGTGTCCGGCACCTTATCATTAATTGCAGTGAGAGGAGTATGTTCCCATGGTAAGTGCTCTGTTATTGCTTTGCTTGTGTGTACATGTACAGCATAAAAAGTAAAGCTATCCCTGTAACAGGCCATGGAGGCCCATAGGGTTGTGAGATCTTGAGGTTCCCACAATTTTTAGACAATCGGCCACCCTTTACCCCCAAGAATATTCCTATTACTCATTTCTGTTAAGAGGCTGAGTCGACCCCAGGGCCATAGTGCAGCTGAAGTATCCATTATAAATGTTGTGCAAATATTTGTGTTAGTGTCTTCAAATTCAGAAAATGAAACTGTAGCTACTCTTCACGGTTAAGGCTGATAAAAAAGTCTAATGGGTGCTGGCAGGGAAGGGCAAGTTAGGCATCTACCCCTCTCCCCAGATTTCAAAAACAGAAAACCAAAGTTGAAAACAGGATATACACCAAATTTTGATACTAAATTTTTCTTAATTATTCTATCCTGGATAATCTAGGACATTAAGTAAAAACAGCCTTAAGTGGCTGTGTATATCTTTTAAATTTACACATAAATCATACAGTCGCTCAATAAAAATATAGTAACAGGAAGGATTATGGATGGATTCAGTGATACATTATGTACCACAGTAAAAAGTATTTTAATTTTATATCTGATATATTTTACCATCATACAACTGTTCTCACTTCCAAACAAGATTTTAGTGTTTATGCAGGTATTTAAATGGAAATATAAATGTAGTATCCACTGAGATCGCAGGCATTTGTTATTTCTTTAAGCTTGCTATAATTATCTGTCTTCCAGCTGCTTGTCCCTTGCAATCACAGAATCTTCAAATTTAACCATGTATGTGGTTCCTTTATGCCAATGGGCAGTTACCTTAGCAGGCTGTAAATAAGAATCAGTTCCATGCATATAATATTAATCAAAATATAAGTATATGAAAAAGCACACTATTCAGACAACTTTCCTACCATAGCACACAGCATTACTAAATCTGGCCATGTGTTTAAACTTCACTTTTTACTAATTTTATTACATCCAACAGCAGAAACCTCATAGGGTTTTCAAAGATCCAGCATATTTGTGTGTCTTATCTTCACATACTTGGACAAAGTTGAATTTTATGTAAAGTTACTTACAAATCCACATCCATTAAGAACAGCTTCAATTATACCAGCTGTGAATACAGAACAATTCAGACTTCCTTTATCTTTGGGTACAGAAATAAATTTATTCACCAAAGGCTCTTTTTCAATAATATAATACGTTCTTTCGTCATCATTGGCATGTTCCAGCTTGTCAGCTTCCCTTCCAAACAGTGACTGAAAAGTGAAAAATTCACACACATAACTAATTGTTAGGGTAGTCAGCTCAAGCATATAATGGATTCGATATCTAACTCTGATGGGTGAAAGAATACACACAGGATTTTGATGATAGGAAGCTAATATTAAAATAAATCAGAAATGTGTCCAATTTCAAGCTTTTGTATGTTGAACTTCCATGTCCTGTTACCCGAGTCTTGTGAGCTGGGCTAGCACAGTCAGTATAGTGATTGTGTATGGGCTGGACGACCAAGAGGTCAGAGTTTGACCCCCTGTAGGGGCAAGAATTTTTCTCTTCTCCATGTCGTCCAGACCAACTCTGGGGACCACCCAGCCTCCTATCTGGTGGGTACTGGGGGCTCTTTCCCCGGGAGTAAAGTGGCAGGGGCGTGAAGCTGACCACTCACCTCCAGCTAGTGCCAAGGTCGAGAAAATGTGGATCTATACATCCACTCCCCCATATGCCTTCATGGCATGGTGCTGAATTAGTTAATGTATAATCATAATAGGAATACAGACAACAATATGTAAGGAGTATCTCGAAAATCTGGAGAATCATGAACCTTTGATTATATGATCAGTAGCTAATCTAGTGTCAACTGAACCTTTGGCTTCATCTAGGATGGAAAACACAGCCAATGTTTGTATTTACCAACTGATGAATCATATACTACAGTATACGTGTATTTACGAGGACATACCATCTGTTGCAGACACCAACCACAGCTTACCTTCCAGAGTGTAGATTTAATGAATAGAAGCATATTTAACAACTTTATCTCACGTTTACAGTTCCTCTCTCGAACAAAGAGAAGATCAATCACCTTTACACCCACTTCCTGCCCCATGTCAGCAAGCCTGGAATAATGTCAAGTGTGGTTATAGTGACAATGGAAACACAAATGCAGTGTAATTATCACCAGCTAATGTGTTTCAAACACGAGTAGAATTTAGGCATGCTAAGTGTATTGTTCGCTGGTCACGGTCTAAGGCGTGTACTGTCTTCGCTCACTTGGAAACCGGGATCGTGGGTTCGAATCCCACTCAGGGCATGGATGTTTAGTTTGTGTGTATGCGTTTTTCTGTGTTTGTGTACAGGTAGGGGCCTTGTGACGAGCTGATCACCCACCCAAGGAGTCCTAGCGAATGTGTAAGATCTAGAAAAAACAAAGTGAACAGAGAAGTTCATGGAAGTAGGCCTAGGCCCACTGGGGCTGTAGTGCCAAGGGGACAAAAAAAAAGTGTATTGTTTGTCATCAAAGCATAGCATGTCCTCTGTGGGAGATGATCCCTTACATAAGGGATAAGTAGTCACTGCTGGCCAGCAATTTGTGATCCTCTAGCTTTGGAGTCAAGTGGAAGGTTAAGCCTTCTATCTTTAAGAAACTGCATGTTATGAAATGTCACAAAAGGCCTCAGGCTTGGACAAATTATTTGGTATGCCTTAAGCATACATTCTAAGTGCTGATGTTCTAAATATGATTTCCCCAACTGAATGTAAAGATTAATTTTTAATAACGAACAAGAGTATGTATCTAATCCTCTACAACCTTGTAGACTTCCAGTGAGTTGTAAATAGGTGTAAGATAAATTGGGTATTAAATGTACGTGGAAATTGAAATGCATGTGCCTGTACCATTAGTGTCAAATCATATTTTTATTGAGGATGAATTTGCTACAGTTTACTGCTTGGTATTGATCAATTTCTGGCAGCTACATACACAAATTCATTCCATTTTGAAGACAGCACAGCACTCGATGTATACACCACTTAGTCCATGTTTTGGCAACATGGGACCATCATCAGGTAGGTGTGTGTATGTGTATATATATATATATAAATTGCTTTTCTGTATTTAATTTTTCATGGGCACACAAGATATGAAAATCTAAAAGTTTGTTGGATTTATTGTCAAAATAATTTAAAAATTATATGTTGTATGTTCTTTATTCTTATTTTTATTATTTTAAAAAAGGAATCAAATGTATTTTCTAAAAAAAACAAGCTTTTAAACCTACACATCCTCCATGTCCATGAAACATTGAATACAGTGTAGCAATTTATATGAATCAGCATATGTACCTGATGATGGCCGCATGTGGCCAACATGTTGTAAATATACATGGAAACATGGGCTATGTGATGTTCTAGCCAAGAAGCTACAAAACTTGCACTGACAAGAGTGTGTAATGCATATATATTTAGTGTTCAACTAATGAAACAGGATGCTCAAATACAGTGATAGGAGGAATTGCAACAATTGGAGAAATCTGTTATTGTACTTAATAAAAGTTTGATACAATGGAGTAGTTACGATCTAGGAATAGTCTTGACCAACTTCATATGAATGTTACCAGCATTATTTCTCTCAAGGTTAACTCTGTGTATAGACAAATCTTCCTAGGGGTAAAGGGCAGTCAGCACTTAAGGCTGACTGTCTAGAAAATGTGGGAGCCTCACCATCTCACAACCCTATATGCCACCCACAGCCAGGGATAGCTTTACCTTTTTTTTTTACAGGCAATTATTTGGGATATCGGTGTGGATTTTGAAGTAAAAACTACTGATCAGATATTGTACATTCATCAGTTACTGGAGAGAAATGGGAATACAATGGGACAATGTAGTGACTATTTATTTGCTTCAGGAAAGCATGTGCATCCACAACACCATGAATCCAAGAAATGAATGTTCAGAAGTGACTACATAATGCCAAATAAAGACCTCACGAAACCAATAATGGATGACTGATAACATTAAATTATGTTACTTTGAAATACTAAGAAAGTGTATGTTGAAATGTACAGTGGTCATAAAATATTTTAAAACTGCATACATAATGATTAAACGTTTCAACTAAAAATTCTAAAGGCACACATGCAATTTTTATCATTTTTATAGTGCTAGTGTAGTGGTTAAGGCACTATGCTAGAAGTCAGAAGGTTGTGGGTTCAAATACCGATGAGGTCATTGGATTTTTTTCAATTGACCTATTCCTTCTGGCCACACTATGGCCCTGGGATTCACTCAGAAATGAGTACCAGGAATTAAATAATTTTCCTGGGGAGTACAGCATAGCCAGCGCGTAAGGCTGACAACCTTACCGCCATCTTTGAGCCAATTGTCTAGATGATGTGGGACCCTCGTCTCACAACCCTATGGGCCTTCATGTCCTGTTACAGGGATAGCTTTACTTTACTATGGTGCTGCTGATGAATGGTCTTATAACAACTATTTTTCTTTTGAAAAAAGATCATGAAACATATACTTATTTGATACACACTCCGTCCCAAGTGCAAACAATATATATTATATGTCTTTGATCTTGTTCTTTTCTACACTACATGTTTCGGCCTCTATCGGCCATCATCAGGTGTATACGTTGCTGCCACACTGAAACCCAGTCTAAAATTTAATATTTAAAAAACACATTGTTATTTTTGTCGTATCGTTGATATGTGTCTGGTATGTAGATTATATTGCACACGTCAAATTTTCCTGTAGTAGCACTATAAAATCTTTAGTTATGATTTTAAAATCCTTTAAAATTTTCTCTAAATTTTAAATTTAGAATTTAAAATTGTTAGGGTTACTCACCCTATGTCTAAAGTGCTGGAGCAGCTAGTTCTTGTTCCACACTGTACAGGTGTTATTCCGTGTGGTCTTCCTGTGTGCGTGCCGCTGCTTGTCTCTACTACGTGTTATAAAGATTTTATAGTGCTACTACAGGAAAATTTGATGTGTGCAATATAATCTACATACCAGACACATATCAACGAGGTAGATGTTGATAATACGACAAAAATAACAATGTGTTTTTAAATGTTAAATTTTAGACTGGGTTTCAGTGTGGCAGCAACGTTAAAAGAGTATACACCTGATGATGGCCGATAGAGGCCGAAACATGTAGTGTAGAAAAGAACAAGATCAAAGACATATAATATATATTGTTTGCACTTGGGACGGAGTGTGTATCATTTATCGTATAGAGTGCAACAGGATGCTGAGATATAATATTATATACTTATTTATTTATACCTATTATGCACCAGTCTTTTAAAGTACTGTTTTATTTTTGTACTTGAATATAATCAACAAAATGAATTCATACATGTATACATACTTAAAAAAACTCCTTATCCTACTGATGCCTTTGGGAAGGGATTTGTGAAGTGTCAATCTCATGATTAGAAATTCTTCCAGATGTTTTGCAGGGCTGTCTGCACATTATATAGAATATAATTTACCCAGCATAAACTAGCCTGTCTGCAACGTAAATCCTAAATACACATGTACGATTTCGTACACCTTGCCAAGACTAACCTGAACTAACAAAACAGTCGCCTCCAGGATCACAATTAGGGTGGCTTTAAACCGTGTTCTTCACATACGACATAACCTATAAAGAACTACCTTCAGAACTTACTTGTTTTGCAGTTCTGGAACTGTATATACACGATTCTGACAATACTGCACTAGTTCTGAAAACAACAATGCGAAGCAACTCAAGCTAACCTCACCCCTGCCTCGGCTTAAAGATTTGTCTAATATACTCGTCCTAGGACGAACTGATGATATCGTTATGCTCATTATATTGAACTTAACACATGTGTGTAATTATAAATAGATATATGTGTGTGTGTGTATACACCAAATGTGACATTAACAAAATATTCCGTTCGCTTTTATGGCAGCTGATTGACATACACGACATCAAGGGCAGCCATCCGTTCGACTCCACATTGTTTTGATTCCTGCAGGGAGCCATATTTAATTTCCCTGTTCGATAGAAATATTCCCTTCACGACTAAAGACTTCGTCCTTTGTGATGTACTATACTAACGAGAAAACATTGAGCAGCTAATTTTGCCTTAATTGGTTGAATAACTATATGCGGTTGTTAATAGTATGATTGCGTATGAGATTTTATCTGCTGTAATTACTGCAGGAGGAATGCCTGCAACTGTCATGTTATTCGGAATCCCTCTACTCGTCGGTTTCACTCCTTCCACGTACAATTTTACATATGCATATTGAACTACTAAACTATACAAACGCAGAATACCCACGAGTTCATAATTCATTTCGCACACACACACACACACACACACACACACACACACATATATGAAAGACATATTCCAATTAAGCACATCTGCTAGTAATTTACAAATGTAAAACAAAAGTAAAAATTCTGCACGTGTTAC